TTTCGTCTGACATCTTTAAAACGAAGAATCCTGGGTTTGGGCCAAAAGGTGTCAGATGCCGGAAGTGGCTGAGTAAGAACAGGTTTACTGGGGATAACGCCTTCGAAAGAGAGGAATCTGATCATGAAAAGGAAGTGTCTTAGCATGCAAATAGTTTATCGCTCTGCTGTGTACTACTTGTCATTGTCATGAACTCTCTCCGGATCATGTCTTGGAACGTCACCGGTATTATGTCAGCGGTGTCTCATTTACATGATGTTTTAACTAAGGAACAAGTCGATATATGTGGTGTATCAGAACATTGGTTGTTCGAGGGAAATCAACATTTATTTCGTAGTATCCACGAGTCATATGATCCTTCGTAATATCCGATTTTTCTCTCCATCCTCTATTGAATAACAGAGTTCGTAAAGGAGGAGTTGCTCTGATGTGGCACAAGAACATCTCAAGTTGCGTTACTATTATAGACTCTAACGATGATCGTATCGCTATTATTAGAGTAGCGCTTGACACTATTGTGTTATTCATTGTTCAGGTCTATTTGCCAATAGCACAGCACGGTGTAAACCTCGATAGGGACTACATTGTTAAACTTGATGAGCTTTACTGCAACATGTCAGTTGGAGGAGAAGTGATTTTTATTGGCTCTGTGGGCCTCGCTGTCAAATTGCTGCCAATAGACCGGGTCGTGATTTACAAAACGTTATGATACAAATTAACCTTGTGTCTCTTACCAAGCAAACTCCATCTTGTACTTCGCTGTGAAATCTTGGATGACGATTCCTATCTTGATGTTACTAACCATAGGCCAATTATATTAGAGACACATGTACCTCCACCATGACTTTCTAATTGCCTTCAATCTGTGGAGAGAATATCTTACAAGTGGATAACATCTGGCGAGATAAGTAATATACGAAGATACTGCGACAATGTGGAAAGCATTATCAGTGATCGTAAGCTGGAGAATCGTTTGCTCATGTCGAAGTCTGATATTGATCTTTACACAGAAGAACTTGTGAAAAGTGTTCAATAAGCAACTAAGGCGTCTTTACCACTTAAGAAAAATTTCGTTCATTTTTAAAATCCTATTGGAAAGGAACTCTAAAACATCATTATAAGGTGATGTGGAGATATCGTTCTGTTTGGACGCCCCATGGAAGGCCAAGATCCCCCGACTCTGAAGTGTTTAGGAAATACAAGGACGCGAAATGTGACTTTCGGAAAGCTCATAGACGTATATCTGAAGAATATCTTCAAAAACTCAATAATGATATCGCTGGAACTGCTGAAGTTGACCAACCTTCTTTTTGGCAGCTGGTTAAATCTCGTCAGAAGACAAATCTCGTTTGTGCTGGGACGGAAATAAATTTCGATGGTGTTAAATAAGAAATCGGATTTGTCAGACAACTGGTCCTCATTTCATTGTAAATCATACAAAGAATCTTGCACTCCTGATTTTGATAACAACTTTAAAACTTATGTAAATCGCAGTGTGACCGAGATATTTCGTTCAAAATGTGAAGAATTTTCATTTCATGAGATTGAAAACTTGCTTTCGGGTAAAGCTCCTGGTCTTGATTTCCTTGTTTATGAAAATTTTAAATTTGCTCATGTGTCACTTTTTCACTGTTTATCAAAGCTTTCAATTCATTTTTAGTAAACAACTACATACTTTGTCTATTAAAAGAGGCGTTATCTGTGTCTTATATAAAGGACACAATAAGTAAAAAAATTATCCAAATAGCTATCGTGCCATCTCATTGTTGCCTGTTATTCTGCAAATTTTTGAAAAATTGTTTCTAGAAAGATTACAGTCTGAAAACATCTTTAAAGTTAGTCCTCTACAAAATTGTTTCCAAAAGCAAGTTAGTAGTGCCATGACTTCCTTCCTTTTGCATGAAGCTAGTATTTATGTCAAAGATTGGGATAACAATCTTTTCACTTGTTTCTTGGATACTTCTAAAGCGTTCGACTGTGTTTGGCACAATGGTCTTTACTTCAATGAACCAAATTGGGTTCCCTGTTAAATATATAAAAGTATTAGCTTCAATGTTTGCAGATATGCAAAGTTGCGTTTTGTATCAAGGTTTTCAATCTAATTGGTTTTCCATCGATCAGGGAGCGAGGCAAGGAAGTATTGTATCTCCATGGATATATACTTGAAAATACCATACATGTCGATGTCTATCTTTATAAATATAGATTAGGACGTCCTAATATATACGTTGTAGTTCATAAGTTCCGAAGTTCATGTTCTGGTTTTCTCGGATCCATCCTTATAGGAGATAGTATCAACCCTTTAATTGGTTTAAGGCTGTATAAATCTATCATTTTAGCACGTGGACTTTACAGCTGTGAACTATGGTTTCTTCTCTCTAATTCAGATTGGAGTCGATTAGAAAAGATTATAAATCTCTGTGTCAAATTAATTCAGTGCTTTCCGTTACGTACTAGATCTGACATCTGCTTAGGAATGTTAGGTTTCCCTTCCATATCTGCTAGGGGTGATCAATGAAAACTTTTTTATGGGGTCGCTATGTAATTTGACTTCACATTGTGGTGTTCAGCAAATAGTTGTACTACGTTTATTGCATATGCATTAACAAATGTACAAAAGCACCGATGGTGTTATCCCAAATATATGGTTTATTTTACATAAGTACGATCTACAAAATTATATATATGACTTTATATAATCGGGTATATATTGGAAACAAATAGTTGAAACGACAGCTTTGAGAAAAGAAGGGAGCGATTGGCAATCTCGTTTGAATGCTACCAATGACTTCAGTAGATTCAAAATTCTCCAAACTATGCTTGTACTTAGCCACTCTATGTTTTCTGGCGCTCACTTAATGTTCGTTTTGGTACGGTATATCAGAAAATGGCAAAGTTATGGACAATTAATCCAGACTGTGAGTTATTATGTTTAAAATGTGCTAGCTAGTGTGAAGATCTTTGGCACACTGCTGCATCGATTGTCGCCATCCCATTATTGTAGATCTAAGGGATACATTTTTCACCAAAATTGTTAGTGATTACCCGGTATCTGTACATATATTTGTTGACAATTAGGAACGTGAACGTTTTATTACAACCCTGCTAGGGGCCGTTGCTATAGAACTGCAACTGTTATTCTCTAATGTTGTAGAATTACAATCATTTAGATTGAAATGTTTTGTATTTATTGTAAAAGTGTCCGAATTAACATTTCAATGAGGCTTTAATACAGCTACGCTGTTTACAGTTATAATGCATTGCAATTTACTCAGTGTCTTTACTTTCCCATACTTTTTTATTTAAAGGTGAACGAAATGCACTTTTGTTTTTGTAAATTTCCTTATTTATGACGTTCCCTGGTTATTAAATTTAATATATTTATAACTTTCAAAGGTTATATGTGTGTCGTTTCTCTCGAAATGTTGAAATAATAAATGTTCGGTTGAAATCGCATCAAAGAATCTTACCTGAGTTATCGTCCGTGAATTCGAAACCGCTGTGACGTCATAAGTGACAATCGCCGATCCAACGAAACTTGACTATGGCGCACGTATATAACTCCGATTGTAGCGACAGTGACGATATCCCAGAGGTTTCATTCACGCTATGTATCCATCCATATATGTATGAACCTGAGACATCGAACAATGACGATCATATCGACTCAGATTCGTCAGATTGTTCCGAGGAACTGCATATAAGAGGTGACGAGGATGACGAAGATAGCATGGCTTCCGATCAACCTGTCGGAGAATGGTTAGTTTTCATTGCAACTACACGACTATATTGTTGTTCAGATTTCGATAATTGTATGTCATCTATAAACTGTATTCAATTTTTTAAAATTTTTTCTATCGTCAAAACAAAAGCGGAAAAAATACGTATTTGTTTACCGCTTTATCCGCCGGTAAGCAAGGCATTCTTCCGTTTATTGTTCATATACCAACAGGTCTACTGATCATTAACATTGTCATGAAATCAATATGTTTATGAAATCATTTGTTTTTCTTCATTAGTTTGTATTGATATAATTTTTCAAACAGTTTACGTTCTCCTGTTGTGTACATTTTCATTCACTTTGACTCTTCTGTTTGTACATTTTACCTCTTTCCTGCAAGTATTTTAGTACGTGAACGATGTACTTTCCAGCAGAAACAACATGACACATGCTCATTATTTTACGATTATATTTATTAATCAGAACATTATAGTACCTCAAATGCATTATGATAAATAAAAAGTCAATGGAGGCGATAATAACTTTTTACTCTATGTACAATTTGTTCTTTAATAACATTTTCAAGATATCTTACAATATATTACACTATAAATCTATACATTTCGTTTCAGGTGTTCCTGTAACATGTGTTCCCATATGTCCACTGAGGACGAAAGAAAATGCTGTCAGGACATGAGCATATTAGAAGAAAAGTTGACAGACATAGGCTGTATCACCCAACATGAAGGGTTTATTGCGAATTGTCTAAACATGCATGTCCTGGAAACATCCTATTATGAATATGCTGAAACACACGGCCCAGGAAGACAAGAAGACATTCACAGGTATATAATGTAAATGACAATTTAAATGAACATCTTTGTCTCACAGATTATATACAACATTGGTACCCTCTATTACTAATTAAACCCCTACATTGCATACCTAACTAAATAATTAATTCCTATATTTCATTAATAAGTAATGGATTAGCAATAAATTTTGAACACAGTCCATTTTGTAGCACTTAAATTACACTGCAAATACTTGTATATATGCCTACATGTACCAGTGTCTTCAAACTTAAGAAATTTGATAACATTTTTTGTCACCTCAGGAAGTATCGGCTTGTAGCATATCGTCGCTTCATCAGGTTGACATGGAAAGTTCTAGTTCCATCATGTGCTGTGACTGCCATACGGAAACAATTTCCATCACAACAATATACTGGTTTCAAGTACCCTCGTTTCTGACATAGCTCGTAAATCTCTGACAATTGTTATGGATGATAACATCTCTGTCAAAATTCCCCATGGCACTGCGGAGTTGACTTGCAATGGAAGGAGGGGGAGCATCCATTTCCTCAAAAAGAGCTGCTTCAGCCTGTTGGATGGTTGTGAATTGTAGCCTTCTGACTACAACCTCCTCCATCAACTCTTTGATGTAATCTGTTGACAAGTTGACATTAACAGTTTAAGGCAGAACAAGAACAATAAAAACTTGAATGGTCACAGTCATAATGAAGTGTCTTGTTATTGCCATCTAATTTGTTATACCAGGTAGTTATGTTGGTATGTTATAAAATACCAGTAAGTTTCTCTAAACATTGTTTAGATTTATCTAAAATAAAACGGTGAAAAATGATTTACGTCAATAAAATGGATGATATTAATATACTTTTATATTTAAAATCTCTCATTAATTTTTTTGTTAAAATATCAATGCAGGTAAATAAAATAAACATACTGAAGTTCTGTTTGACTTTAATCTCCTTTGGGACTGCATCCCCTTTTCTTCCTTTTGGGAAAGCAATTCTGTATCTGGCAGTCCCATCCTCCAGAGTTGCTTGTGGTCTACAACTATTTGAGTTGAAATGAAGAGCTGCCAGGCAAAGTCTGAAAAATGGTAGTACAGTCTGTGCAGAATTGTAAACGAACAGTATTCAATAAGGTACCATATCTTGTGAATGTATTAATTATGGTACTGTATTTATCAGGTAATAAGCCCACGCCTAGTAATAAGCCCATCCATGTCTTTTTCTTAGATTTCAAATTCACTGTCCTATACAAACTATATCCCTGCAATAATCCCCCCCAATCTGTTGATCAAATATTAGACACTGGCCCCTAGGCTTATTGCAGGATAAATACAGTATCATATCAGGACCATAGTGATGTATTTCTGTTTCATTTTTATCAGCACTGCATCAGATTTTTATGAGTATATCTCACCTTGCTTTCATCTGAATGTAAAAGAAATGGCTGGCCTTTGTTGCAAAAAAGTTCACCACATTGTGGAAGGATTCCAAGCATGATGTCTGATGTGCTGGGGACAACTTTCCAACATCTTTCAACAAGAGTTTCCCACATAAAATCTTTTCCATTTCCCGGAATACTTTGCTTCCTGAAACAAAAGGGCAGAAGTAAAAATACTTAATGAGTAATATGTATAATTAGAAAAGAAGCATGTTATTTGAAAAGTATTACAAATTCTTCATATGACAATGGCAAATATCTTATTAACGCTGGACTCCTACCATAAAAATCTTATTATCTATAATCTCAATTAGTATCTTATAATTACCTGGCTTGATCCACTTTCTTGAGATGTCCCCATGCTCACATGAATGGAAAAGATCTCCATGCCCCTCGTGAATATTAGTGACATGGTTCAGGATACTTTTTTTTTTGTCAAGTTCTGCATTCCCTCCACTGCTAGCAGCACACCAATAAGCATGGTTGCTTATGGATCTGGCCCATTCTCCAGCCATTTTGTACTTCTTGGACTTTCCAAGAGCTTCTAGTTTCTTGTAGACACCTTTGTAAAATAAGAAATTCATTAGCAATTTAATAGTTATTAATTTTTAAATATATTTTAGAGTCATGGATAGTAACTGACTAAAAATGTACGGAGCGGGGTGATGGGGGAAGGGCTTATTACCCAGCATGGGCGTATTGCTAATTCAGGTGAAAGAAAAAAAAAAACACCTATATAAAGCTAGCAATTAATGCATGGAAACATACCCAAGTAAGTGCTTACCCTTTGCAACATGCCAAACATCAAACCAATGGTTTATGTCTGGATGGTCACTTTTCATCAGCTTTTTGACTTGGCAGTGTCTGTCAGTCACCAAATCAGATATTGGTATGTCCTTATCTTTTAAGAATTGGAAGCAGCGCTTCAGTCCTTCCAGTTCCATTGCATATGAATTTTTCACTTCATTTGACTGTAATGTAATTAACATGGGTATTAATGAACTGAAAAAAGATTTAAAACAGTTTTCTCCCTTTCCATAATATTGATTAATAAATGCATACATATAAAAAGTCTACATTTAATTACCTGGACAAGCTGAATATCCACCACTTTGGCAGTTTCTACATCCATGAGTGTGTAGGATCCGTATTTTGCAGTGTGTCCTGGGGAACTGCATCTGGCATCACCACCTAGTTTCAAGGAACTGCCACTGTTTTTGATGTCATTTAAATATACTGATTGCTGATGTTGCCAGCATGATAATGTGGATGGTACAATGTAGGTCCTCTGCAGTTTGTTGTATGCAGTTAGGCTAAGACCTAAAATTCCTGAATGGCTCATAAAGTTAAATGTTTTCACAGGACTGTTCCCACTAAAAAATATCCCACAGGCGATCACCAAATTTCCCCAGGGCAGTGAATTTGAAAATGGCTGACTCCGCCATTTTCTGATAAATCCACAGACACATCTACTTGTTACACAAACACAAGTACCAACTGTTGTTTTGATGTGTTGCAAGTTTCTCTTGCTGCAGACAGCACATATGTCTAGCAGTTCAAAGAGACATTGTTCAAACACAACATACTTGTGCGCTTTGTCTGGATCTGTGTCCTCACTGTCCAATTCATGTGTTGTTGTGACATTGTCTTCCAAATCTGAATACTCCTCCAGATCTTCTAATGGACTCCATTCTGAATCATTGTCCTGATCTGGTAGAGAAATATCCATGTCACTCTCATCATCAGAATAATTTTCCCTATCTTTCTGGGTGGTGTTGTATCTGTGGCATTGAATGGATGTAGACACAGTCTGGCATGTGGCCTGTACCCCACAAGATGTAACTGAAGTCTTCATTTCTGATATTTTTGTCTGTAGACTAACATGACGACGTTTCTGGAGAAAAAAAGAAATATTAATCAATTGCTGTGAACTCTAAAATAATCTATATTGCCTGAACATTCCAATATATTGATTCACATCTATTATTTGAATAGCCATGTAATTCATATGAAACTAATTTTATATGTTAATGATGTTATTAACACTTCTATTTCAGTAGTCTTTGACGGTCAATACATATTGAACCTACTTACACTATGAGATGGTCATATAATTTGAAAACATATAATGACCAAGAATTATAATATAAATGTACTTTTCTGTATTTTATCATAAATTTTATTGCATCACAATCCATTTTCAAGAGGAGATCTAGAAATACATGTCCGGTATATGTAAGTGCATGGCCTTCATAAATATGCTGGGTGAAATTATATATACCGGATAGGGGGTAGGGGCTGGTATATGTGTACACAAAAAGCATTCAGAGAATACCATAATAGTATATATTACATGTACATACTGTTAGGTTGTATGACGTCTGACAGCCAACATTGTATGTCTCTAGTGGATCATCCGGTCCTACACATTTATCTACAGTACTTCTGTGATCAGAAGTCTGTGTCTCCATGTGCACCTGATTTGGATGGTACTTGATTTGTTCAGACGTGTAATTTGTACTAATCTGCTGTTCATTTGTTACGTCTGCCAAAATCTACAAACAAAAAAAAGAAAAAGGATAAACAACTAAACAAACAAGTGGAATACATTGTATGTGCCAGTAATATCAGTAAGGGTGGGGGGGGTGGGGGGGGGGGGAGCTTGTACAGTTCACTGTGGTTAGGCGTAAATTAGCTTATATTATAATTACATTGTATGTTGCTTGCAAGTACAGTACCTTATCATTTTAAAATATTACGTAATACTACCATTGTTAATACAACTGATGCATTTATTTACCTCGAGACGTCGTCTTTTCTGGACTGCTGTGCTAGGCCTAGACCGACTTCTGCTCGGAGTTGTGCCGACTGGATAGTGTTGGTCATTCCGGGCATTGGCAGGACTGGTACCGCTGTCTTCGGTCTGGATGGGAGTGGTAGGCCTTGATTTCGGCGAATAATCAAAAATTGTGGGAATTGACCCTGGTTTTAACGATTTTCGACCCGGTGTGAAACCAAGTGATTCCAAAAGACGTCGATCGTGGGTGAAGCAGTCGTCCGCAAAATGGCTCTCACACAATCTGGTGTGGTCGCTTGGAGAAAAATTGTCTCTCTTGAGCTTAATTTTCCACGCATTCCGAAGCTTTTTATCTCGGGGAAAAGCGAATAAACTTACTTTCTGTCCACGATTGCTACTGTTGTTACAATTGAGGGCTGCACATTGTACCATGTTGACATCTGGCGTTTGTTTACAATTTTCCTGCTTGACAGATAGCGCGGATTTTTTTTTTTGCAACGAGAGCGTTTGTCACATATGACGTCACGGATAAGGGCGATAACTCAGTCAAGGCCTTTGTGTTTCGTAAGATCGACCGAAGAACAGCATTTTTTAAAAACTCAATTTACTTACCAAACTCGCTAAATTTGTTTAAAATAGCACGTTTTGGTTTTTTATGATACTTTTATAACACTCTGGCAGCATCGGCAGTTATTTGATTGATTTTGGCTTTCTGTCACCTTTAAGTTTTTTTTATTTGTGCACTCTATTGATCATTATCATGTAAACAACTCCTATATTCTTTGATGTTTATTTTTCTTGTGTTTTTTTCTGTCACACTTTCACCCTGATTTCTTTTTGTACACTCACTTTATCAATCACTGCTTGTTTACTATGTTTCTGTACTCCTCAGTTATGGAGGAAATAACGATATGAATGAATGAATGTTAAAGACATTTTTAAATATCTTATTGAATACAGATATCAGTCGCGTTACTGGTTGTATTTCCTTACAAAACAAGCGTTTAATGGTGGTATTTGCAGACGTTGATGGCCAGGAAAGATTTAACAGGAAAATAGAAGATTTATCAATCCGTATGAGCAAAGTGCAACGGGATGTAAGAAAAATTGCAAAATATACAGTCAATGGCGAACAAATTGAGGCTGGTAAGTAGATGAAAAAATACTACCTCTATGTAATATGTTTTAAATTTTACGAATTTTACCACAAATACATGCGTTGTTAACGCAGATGTTGTCTATCAATACAACAAATATTCCTGTTCCAGCTACACTTTTACAAGTGGCTACAAGTCCCAATGTTTTGGTGTAGAGTTGGTTTTGTTAATGCCTGCATTAGTTTATCAAATAATGCATAGAGAATTCGGCTAATAACTACCTTAGTACTTCACGCTACGATATTATTTTTAATACCACACTTCACTTCAATCACGACTCGGTGTCAAACCGGATGTATGAGAATAGGCTTAGGGAGTCCAGAGGTCACGGCTATAATTATTTCCAAAGTTGAAATGTCACTAACGTATGCAGCTACAAAAACGGTTAAACACACAAAAAGTGTAGACATTTAAAATTAGTGCACGCAGTGCGGAATCCGCCGGATGCGTCGACTTTGAGAACCACATCAGGTGTATCATTTGTACTAATCAATAAGGGATACATAAGATAACCTCTGATGAAGGCATCAATATGCACGAATTTCAATATCATGATATTGTTAACTCGATCTGATGATTTGTTGAACAAATAAACACAAAACTGTATTAGAAATTAAAGTTAAAATAGAACAAATTGGAAAAATAAAAGAAACCAAAGTTTAGATATCCCGAATAGGTTGTGAAATATTGGAGCATCTGATGCGATTGGGGCAAATCCAGAGTGATCCAAGTCATCATCTTCATGAGCAGTGCACTAGCTCCATAACTGCATAAATATGATATATTTCATATATCTGTTAAGTTTAGAATAAAGTATATGGTATCTATTGAACCGTGTCTTTACTCGAATGAACTGAAAGGTGGTATGTGGTATTTGGTGACTTAAGCCGAGCTCGCAAGAGGATTTCAAGTTTGTTCCACTAAATTAGTTGACATACAATACGACATTGAAGATTTTACTGTAAGTTTATGTAATTAAATTCTGCGAACTTTTCTTTTATTCGGGTCAACGACACATTTTTAGGGCATTATAAGATGTTATTTATATCAATGTATTTCTAAATCGTATATTTATTTAATCGATTATGATTTCAAAATCTTCACGCGTCAACCTCTGGCCGTGAAACTCTTAGACATCACACTTCTGCAGAAAAGAGCCAAATATCTATTCACTTCTGAATATATTTCAAGTAGCAGTTAACTGCGATAACGCGCACATTCCTCCATACCACTATAGCATCCTTCCTTACAATATATAGCAGACGCATTCTTTCTCGAAGTGGCTATGTGTTCTTGTATAATATACTGATCTGCCTTTCGTTTTGCTATAGAGATAAGTTTGACAGGCAATTTGGGCCGAGAATAGTATACATTCTAAAGTAATATTAAGAATAATTATGTTAATTTTTGTAATAAAATTCTGCTAATTAGTTAGATATATTTTCCCCATACCATGTATGATACAGTACAAACGATATACCATTACTACAACATAGATTAAACTTAAAATGTTTGATACCGCCGTACTACAGCATATAAACATTTGCTGCTTACATGTAAACTGTATATAACAGAATAAAGATCTCAGTTTAAACTTGAATAGCCCATTAGAAGGACGGTTGCCGACTAACACGTGGCAAAAATAGCAGACGAACTTTAACTGCGGTGACCCACTCTCTCGCAGCGACTTTATATGTATGTATATAATACATTCGTAACTTAACTGCAAACACGGAAATTTTCAGTTATTTTGCTAATTTCTAGCAAATAAGTTCGATTTATCCCCCCAAGTCTGATATCAAATTCCTCACAGAGAAAACCCAAATCGTGTCTACAAGATGAATTTTCTTCTCCAAGGACTTCCTAGGAGGTTAAACATATCACACGTTTACATAATGAAACATTGTCGCGTTTTGGCGATCGTTAATGACACTGACATAGAACGTCCCTGGTGTTTTACGAGAAAAGCTATTGACATGTGTGTCTTTTGTACGTACCATTGGGTTAGGGTTGTACATTCTTCAAAATTGCAGGTGGTAGAGATAACTGGTGGACATTTTGCTATAATCAACATGCTATGATTCAATCCATGCAAGCAGACGCGTGATTCAGAATGTTTTTATGTGCTTTTGTTTTGATCAATTTTTATTTCTTCAATCTCGTCCTAAATATTCAGTAATTTGAATCTTATCATCACTGGCAACATACAACAGTATGATGCAGTTTAATTCATATATTTTTCTTTTGCCTCTTGTTTTCAATTGATATTGACAGGTGCTATGCACTTGTGTGTCTTTTGTACAATCTTTATAATCCCTAGTTTGGAATATTGCTATCATACTTACACATTTATAACAGAGTTTTATAATTCTGTTAGACTCGAGTGTCATAACTTATCTAATCGCAAGTTTGATATTAAGCGCATTAGCATTTATCACCTGTTCAGAGTTTCTGTAAATCATTGCTATATGAGAAAAAGATTGTAATAGCTGCTAGATGTGTTTTCTAGCATTCAACCTTCTGAACGACATGACTGCAAAGACGCGAAGGACGATTTCCGTTGATCCATTCGACAGCGGCGCACAAGAAATCACATTAGATAATCTAGCAAAAGCTTTGCTAGTTATTCAATCCTTTTATAGCAACACCAACTGGGTCGAAATGAATGGGGATGTTCACAGTCCAGCCTTTGGTAAAAATTTTAATTACTATACAATTATTGATAATCGTAGTAATTATGTTTTGTTTTAATTCTTATATACTCTTTATTTACAAATTGATATGTCCGCAAACAGTTTAACAATTTTACAAGTGGATCTCGATAGCGTTCATAACCGAAAGCAACTGCCAAAAAAATTATCGAAAAAAAAAGTAAATTTAAGCACTATGTAAATGCCGCTACATCAAAAGCCGTATTTCAGCATATTTGTTAAAACCCGTAGAGGAAATACCATTTTATCTGTGCTCTTCATCCCTTGGTTTTCTGTTTACGGTATCTTTCATTGCTTCTTTGTCACCATTCCAACAGGTGGGGAAGGTGGCTTGACAGGTATAGTTCCAGAGTGGAAGGAAACATGTAACATCTGCGATCCACGTGCCAAGTAAGATTTTATCTTGTTAACTTATATTAAATTAATGTGTACATCTATGTGAACACTTTTACGTCCCTGTTCCCTTATTACAAAATATCAAACTACTGTCGCTGTATAACGCGAAAAAAAGAACCACTTAAAATCGTCAGAAACAACTATTGTTTTTTTTTTTTTTTTTTTACTATGTAGATCTTTGTTCATCAACTTTAACAATCCGGTTTCCTACTATTTGTAGCGTTTAGTACAGTAAGTTAAATGTCTTACATCACCCATATTAAATCCATGTAATTCCTAATGCGAAATTGATTACATAAATCCCAATCTGCCGCCTTATTTAAAAAAAGAAAAGAAAATATAATCAAACAAGCATTGTAATGGTAATTGAATATATGTCCTGCAATCGCGGCAATATACAGCGACTATTATTTTTGAAAGAAGAATTTGAAAAATTTGTCGTTAACGTGAGAGTTTATAACAACAATAACTTACGTAATGTTTCACACGTACTGGCAGAGAATAAGTCTGGGGGAAGTACATGGTCTGCAAATTAAATACAATTAGATATTTTAAGCACGTGAGGATAGCTACTTTGTGATAATTTCATTATTTTGCCTGGTTTTGATTTGGTATTATACTGCATTACATCAACATCTACGATCACTTAAGGACGGTCATGTGCATCATTCGAAATTGAAGAAACGCATTCGCTCTCTTGTTTTTCTCAAAGGTGATCTTCGGTACAAATATGTGGTTGTGTATTAAACGGAAGCGTATTTGGTGAAAAAAAAATCCAAATAAATGAAGAGATATACCAAACCTGACAATGTTGAAATGGTCGAATTTCTGGTTGACACTATTTTCGTCGACTTTGGTGGTAATATCTTACAACAAACTATTGGAACACCTATATGCACACATATGAGAACCCTATAGGAACAAACTTTGTCCCTCTTTTTGCTAACCTTTTTTTTTCTTTTTAGAATTTTCATTGTTTATACCTACCGGAAGGACTCTTCTATATCATCCGATTACCTCGATATTTCTCCTATATTGAATCAACATAGGCAGGTTTTTTTACCAAGCTGTATAATAAGCGTGATGATTTCACTATACTGTGTATTTTCATTTTCTGCATGTCAAACTCTAGTATTTGAATGTCGTTAAGTAGTTGATTCGGTATCAAAGTGCTTGTTTTTAGTATTATGATTTTCGGGAAAGATGTATTCAACTGACAGACAAATGAACAACACATGTTTTTAAGAGATGCATGTTGGTGACAATAATATGGAGGTTTTTTACGGTCGTCATAGTGATCTCAACGAGGAATGTTATATTTACTCATCCGATATGAGGTTGGATGTGTTTTTTGTAGTTTACAAACTTTGTTAATATTTCATTTTTTGTGCTAGCAGCAGCGACTATGAAGTTAAATTATTATTCTGAAGTCAGATTGTTTATGTGAGAGGCTGCAATATGTTCAAGTGAGTATCTATCACACTGAAATAAAGTGCTGAAGGCCGCCAGGAATATATTCCGACTGGTCACATTATATTGACAACAGGTGAAGAAGTCGTTACACAAACACAACACCACATGTTAAAAAGGGAATAATTAATTTATATTGTTCATATTTAATATAGGTATGACTGTGTGAATAACATTGTTACCACAAAATTAACAAGTGGATTTCGGAGTGACCAAGATATTAAAATACCACATTGTAAGTACAAATGCATGTTTATCATTGTGTGAGAATTTGTGATAATGTAAGTTCAATTCTCTCAAATATTGTGGAAAGATAAAAATACTGTTTAATACAAATTCAGAATAGACTATGAAATCATGGAGGCGACAGAGAAAACTAAACATTGATGGAAAGAAATGCCAGATCGTTATCCGGAGATGCACTAGCCCAATACATCAACATATATATCATAATTTTATATCCGTATAATTTTTACTAGCAAATCTATTTAAGGATCTATTTATGATTTCTAGAAGCACGCAATATGTGTGTGATGCAGTTTTGCTGATTAATAAACTCTTGCGTACCAAATCTTAAATTTTATTCTGAATTCTGTAAATCCACTGAGAGTGTTCACAAACGGCACCGACTGCGCCAATATTTACTTAGATTTACAAACATACATTTTTTTTTTTTTTTTTTTTTTTTTTTTGTTTTTTTTTTTTTTTTTTGTTGTTGTTTTTTTTTTTTTTTTTAATGATGATGTTCTCGCTAGTTTTTGTTATTATATATTTACAGTGAATAGAGGCCTAAAATGCGCACATGACTGGAATACTGACAATAATAAACTAGCTATTGGCGGAATCGGTAAAGATACTACTGATTCCACGAAATCTCCACACGCTGATTTCCATCCCGAGGCTGCAATTGCTGCCATCCAAGCGACAACTGTCTACCTGTATCAAAATGGTAATCACCAGAAAACTAATGTTACCATTAACACAACAGATTTCCATTATATGTTGGTATATGTTTTTGTTGTATCAAATGATTCAATGGACTCAAATTTCTTGTTTCGCATGGTTTTCGGGTTTTAGTAAAATATGTTTTCATTTTATATATCTTCAATTGTCTTTTACTCAATAATTTTGAACTAGCAATTTTTTTACAGGTAAAGGAGTTTTAAGTACTATTCCCATCGACAATTTCTTAAAACTATTTGATCTTTCGTCACGGAAAAAAGAATCAAAGGGTTCCCTGGCCTTTATTTTGGACGTCAGTGGATCAATGAGTGAGGACATACAAGCTGCGCGAGACGCTTGTATTAACATGGTCACCGCTGTTCAAGGAACACCAAATGAACCGGCTGATTACGTTCTAGCGACGTTCAACGACCCAGGTATATCTTTATTTTAGCATGCCTCACAGTTCACTAAAAGTGGTTTCAATGTCACGAGATATGTGTGTGATTGTTTGGGAAGGTGTGCTGAAGTTGTTATATGATATTTTTAGATGAATGAAGGATTTCTCTCTCCATGACTCTTCCTACTACCAAGCGTTGTATCAACCATGATCCCGTTATCACCGTCAAGATCATTTAGGCAATAGAGAAATGTAAGGGTCACATAGATATATATTTATGAAAAAAATGATCTTCGACAAAGATCACAATTGAGTATATTTTGTAAACATGATTTTAATTAAAATCAATTGATTTAAATTTAATACCTATATATGGTTTTTTACGTTATCTTCCAGTTTCATCGTATTTTATTCTTTTTTTCCTGATAGCTGAAAATGAATATTAGCATAGATATACATAATTAACATCATGAACCAAATAACGATATGAGTATCTAGTATTACTCCTGCTGCTACTGCTACCTCTTATCGTTCTACTACTACTTGTAACACAGTGACGTAACAACATATAACTGTTGGTAATAGTCATGTTTATTTAGATGTTGTATATGTTCAAAGGCAACATCTCATCAACTTACACATATATTCACTCCACTTCCCGTTGTGTCTCATAAAGCAGTCTCTGTATCAAAACTGTCCTTGTATAAAAACAGTACTTCTAGGTATATACTTACATACCCTCTCCTTATACTATCCATCAAGGTATAAACTGACTGTGAGCTGATCTGGTGGGCTACCTAGGGCCCATCTATTGGGGTATCCCAACCCCTTCTCTAAGCTATCTATGACCGTGCAGTCGGGTGTCCAAACCCCTTCTGTCCGATCCCCAGCATCTAGCTTCTATTTATTATCATCTTGACCGATTCTGTCTCGCTATCCCTTATTATGGACTCCACTCGTTGCAAGCTGATATGATTGTTGAAGTATAACCATCCACGCTCGAGGTGCGAGGTTGAGATTCCTAGTGGTCACTGTCCGAATAGGCAATTGCATAAGTTTAATTATCAAGGAAGCTACGCCCGTTCCGTCTGATAGTTTAATTTACACCACATGCTCTACAAACCCTGAGCTACAGCACCACTCGCCTATCACCAGTGATAATTAGCCTATTTGATTGATTTACTTCAGAACCATAACTTAGCTACAGTGTCTTACTTCCCATTACCAATCCTACGATAAGTTGAATAAATTAATATATAGATATCAATACCTTATTGTGTAACACTACTACTACTACTATTACTAGTACAGCAGTAGAAGTGTTAGTACTATTAGTAGTTGTAAAAGTAGTAATAGTAGTAGTTACTGTAATAGTGGTGGTTATGATAGTAGTAGTGGTAATAGTAGCAGTGACATTGGGTGAAGTGGTAGCAGCTGTATTAGCATAAACAGTAGTAGTAGTAGTAGTAGTAGTAGTTGTAGTAGTAGTAGTAGTAGTATAAAAGTAGTAGTAGCTGTAGTAGTTATAGTAATAGTAATGGTTGTGGTATTAGTAATAGTATTACAATTTGTAAATATTGTAATAATATAACCACTACTGTTCCTGCCACTAATGACACTTTTTCATTCTTTTGTAATATTGTCATACTTTAAGGCAGCTGAATGTCCTGTGTTTTTTAATGTTTGTTATGTCTTTGATTTATTTTAGAGAGCCTTACAACAGGAGAGAGATTTACGAATGGGAACGATATGATCAATAAACTACATTCTCTAAAAGCTGACGGTGGAGAAGACTGCCCAGAGTACGCACTGTCGGGCATTTTGCGAGGTATTTATTTGTTATGTTATTTGAAAGATAATTTTAAATAATAACAAAATAGTTGTTAAATCGACATTTAGATCCAATCAGACAATGTGAAATGTATTTCTGTTTGAGTTGATACGGTTAGTTTTAACAATCCATTAACAACCAGTGGTATTTGGGGCAAAACTACCTTGTAGAAAATAACAACTAAGTAATATTTTAAAAGGACAAAACAGAAAGTCAGTAAATTATAGCTGTTATTGACGAGATAGAAATATGGAATTTACTGTGTCAAGCAGATAAGAAATATGAAATGAATACGTCAATTAATCAAAGATGTGGTTCATAATTTCTTACAAAGTTCAGTTTATCTGACCTGGAGGTTTAAAACTTTTATTTTGAATGTGCCAAACATCTGAGCAGGCAGTGAAAGCATGCCCCACTGTAAGCAGGATACCACATGCATAAAAGAAACTGATCCACGTATAGTTATTCTCTTGATGTTATCCTGTATAATATTTCATAAAGACGAATGCTTCTTTTGCTATGATTGTTGACAGTTGTTTTCTACGTTTGTTTGCGCATGATATCTTCTAATGTTCTTCACTAGATTTGACTTTTAATACTAAAATCATGATATACACTTAATTGTCGGTCAGGACTTTCTCTTAGTAAATCTGGGTCCAAATTTTTCGCCTTTACTGATGCCGATGCCAAAGATGCAAGCAAATGGGTCGAAGTCAACACTACTGCGAACGCACTAGGAATTGCTGTAAATTTTTTACTGACTGGAGAGTGTCGTCGACGTCGAGCTACAGGTGAGTGGCCACTTAACTATTTAGAAAAAAAAAGAATAAAAGATATTTTAAAGAATTTATACTTTTTGTTTAATTCAGACTTTGCAGCTCTCGTTTATTTTGTTATCTTTTCACGTTAGTCTTTGAAAGATTGTGCCTGTCTCTAGATCATTTAGAAGATAAAACATAATCAAATAAAAACGGACGGGAAGTATAGCATTTGTAAAACTAAAAGCCTGATAATTCATGTTTAGAGAAACGATTTTCACTGAGTGGTAACACCTATGTCTACCATTACAGCTGAAAAATTCATCCAATATTGAACTTTTTGTATTATAACGTTATGGTGCATTATCTGGTTGGTGACGGTATTGATATTACGCAATATCTTTTTTGTTTTCCACTTTACCAGATAGAGTAAAACGCGATGTGGATGACGTATACATACGGATAGCAGCGGCCACAGGGGGTAAGGTGTATAATACCCCAAAGTCTGAGTTACCAGCAATCTTGGATACAATAATGCACGTAAGTGTTACTGAAATAGTGTTTTCCTCTTCCATTCGAAAGGTCATCATTGACCTTGTCAAGATTGTATATGTCATCTTCTCATGGCTTACAGAGGAGTTTTTTTAACTTGATCAATACTCCCACGACTTTAACCTGAGCATTTGACCACCCCATTTTCAGAAGCTCTTCCGATTACGAATATGAGACATTTCCTTAAAGGAGACGACAGTCAGCAATATAGTTTACCCTTGTGAATTCAAAAGTTCGTTATTCTAACCATTGAATAAAGAAATCCGGATAAAGTTATGGCGAATTAATAAAAAAAAAATGGTACAACTGCTTTATCGATTAAACATGCCCTATAGTCACAGTAATAATCACTGATTCATGTAAATTTAGTAGAATCGTGTTTGCCCTCTACTGTATCATTGTACAAAACACACATAGCTCATTTTAACAAAATTTTGAGTAAAAACAGTTGTGCTTAAATTGCATTACACTGATTGTCTCGTTAATATTGCAAAGAAGTAAGAATTATGATTCCGAGGAGGAAAATCCAAAACCAAAAAATGTCAAACTCTAAATGGTCAGGTATACTATCCCCATAATCGATAACCTCCGGTAATTTCAGTAGGACGTCATTTATATACATTTTTTTCTGAACCGAACCATTATTCTAATGAATTCGAACGTAGCTTGTATCTACACCTAAACCTGTATTGAAACGTGCAGTTCACGTCTGTGAACAATCTGCCAAATTCCAGATTGAAGACACTACTGATGGTTTGTTAGTCACTGAGCTATTTCCATATTGAGATTTAATGAGTTCTGTTTTCAGGACACAACCGCATCTGGTTCTTGACATTTAATTCTTCCCTATTAAATTCTCGTATGCTGTCTTAAGTGTCAATAATGCGGGCCCTTGATATCTCTATGTGTTATAAGGAGGTGATGGAGTTATTATTTTTTTACAATATCAAAGGTGACACAAAAAACACCAGCTGCTACACTTAAATTGCTAAAAGCTGCGCCAGATACTTTTAGAGTGAGAGTTTTGGAGTGTTTTGAGGGCATAGGGGCAAGGACGTTGTTGTGAACATTTCGTCCAAAAACAATGTAATCCAAGCTTGTTTGCTTGTTACCGTAAATGGTATCATTCAGATGGGTGTGTTTAGTACATGACGCACATGTCGTTTAACCGGTTGGCTAAATAAAGTCAATGTGTACGTTACCGTAATAAATAACCAAGATTAGTAACATTATCCAAACACGTCTAGTCAAGCTCACGCCATAGTTAAATCAATCTCATACACCTTAAATACGATTGTGTTATATTAGCAATGGACCATTTATTTATTTTTTTTAGTTAACGCACTTTAAATCACAAGCTGTAAACACAAATATTACAGAATTGATAGTATTGCAATGGAAACACGTTTAGTTTACGTATATAGGGAGCATATTAAAATCTATAAAAATGTCCAAGGAACATCCTAAAGTTATAAACGAACCTGCATTGACCGGAACTGATATTTAGCTACGTTATAAGCAACATCTTCGTCAATTATCTAATGTTTTATGACATGGAGGAAGTGCTTACTACACAAGGAAGGACTGTTTTAAGAAAAAAAGTTTTATCTTGAAGCACGAAGCTGGACACTATTCAAAAGAGTTCAGACAGGATAAGTAAGCTTCAAAGAGTATCAAGGGGTAAAGTCTAAAATCATTCATGGACTGGAAAAGTTAATCTATGATTGTGCGAACATTTTTAACTCGTATTCAACCCCTTTTCTATAATCATCAAAGGAGGAAAATATCCGGAATTTGGTAAATGCTAATGAAACGTTGCGTCATAAAAAACTGATTGTAGAATAAGAATGTGTCAGGATAATTTACCCTCATAACAAATTGCACCAGAAAACTGTGTCATGAACAAACATGTTCATATTACTGCAGGAGGAGTTGCCCTCGTCTGATGTTGTGATCAAGGTTTTACAGATGGTTCCCTCCAATAGCAACTGGGACGTTATAGTTGTTGACCCTACAATTAGCCTCCTTAAGATTGTTGTTACTGGCGGAACATCTGTCGAGGATATAACTATCGAAGATCCAAACGGTAAAATATCACAGCATTATCAATTATAAAACTGACTTTTTCCCTCTTCTTAGTATGTACTCCATGGATAAAGAAACGATGATACTAGGCAAGTGTCCGCAGACCAACTTCCCGCAATCGTTTCTTTAGAGTTTTTTCATGAATATGAATTTCGAGACATTTGTAACGATCAATTACAATAATACAATAAATACTTGCTCTCTATTTATTCCGGGTTTCAATTTTTAATGAAAGAAAATGTAATAACTTCATATTTCGTACAAATACACGTTTCCTGGTGAAGTCATACATTTGGCGATGTCAGTGATTTTGGTGAATGCTTCCATATTACATTGACCCTAATGTGACGTGTTCAGTAGATGATAAAATAATGTCACAAAATATATAATGAAAACGATATAAAACCATATTGAGTAAGGTTTGACATAGCAGTGTGCTATAATGTGTATCTTATCTGTTCCTAAAGTCGAAAACAAGTCGAAAGTTTGCCAGCTGAAACTAAAAGAAGAATTTAGAGCAATTCCCATTATTTGCAAATAAATATATATAACTGTAGCATTATTAATGGTAACTATATATTTGCTGTTTTCAAGAAAGAAATGAAATACAAATTTTATTTAGTGACCGGTTTGATTTTATATGAGTTATGATTTTCGTAATAAAACTAAATATCTTTAATGTATTTACCAACTGTAAAACTACACTCGAAAAATGCCTGCTGTTGTACTTCAATTTATACATGCTATATATTCACATCAGGTTCTACCTTACAATATGAAGCTGGTGCTGCGATTCGATATTTCAATAAAGGACAAATTATCATATCCGTACAGGTAGGATTTATAATTTTGCATCACGAAATAAGTATATTACAAGGAATGATTGAGAGTTATTACACGAAAGAATCTGAGTGTAAGAACCGCTTTGCTTTAGTGGATGATGACTTTGATTACGATTGAATGTTTCATTTAGAATAATTCTGAAGTGTGGTTTTATATATCTATATATTTTATAGATGGTAAAGAGTATTGTTTTCCTGTCAGAAGTGTCTGTTAATTCCGTGTAAAACATTGCTTTTATTCGTTTTCGTAACGATAGTCACTAATTTCAACATTAAATCAAATGTATCTTTTTTTCAGAAACCCTTAATTGGAAACTGGACAATTATTCAGACAACTGCAGTTTTAATGACAGCGCATGTCATGGGATCTTCACCATTGGATTTTACTTTTCAAGTAACAGAACAAGAGGATTTGGGCGTTTCGTACTTTACGGAAGGAAACTTAATCAAAGGTTCATCTTTTCTATTACATTTAACGAGAAATTGTTGCTTTCCAACCACCTGATAAAGAAGCGATCATCTGACGATCTACCATAACATATGTTCGTTTTTTGTTTCATATAATGTCTTTATTTTTATTAAGCTTTTTAAAAAAATCTACGCTATTGCTTTACCCCTTCATACAAATACCTGTGTTGATTAGGGTTTCCTTACACAAAGCAGCAACTGTGTCTGTATTTTATAAGTTGTGTCAATATATAATGTGAGATGTTTCTTTATGTAGGTCAGAATTACACGCTGTCAACGAAGTTTCTTAATCTTGCCCACAACTCAACACTTCAATCAGTTTCTCTCGTGAATATTGCCGGAAAAGAGATTGTAATGTTACAGACGTCACTCCGTCGAATGGGGACTGAACTATTGGCTGTCGTTGATTTTACCATGCCAGACGAGGTAAGCTACTTAAAGGAGCCAAACACATAAATAAAATAAGCATTTCCACTCACCTCATGCCAATTGATCATTAATTAGGATTAATATCGTAGAATTTAAACAAATAACCTTACACATACATAACAAAGATAAAAATGAATCTTCTAGAATGATAATGTTTCAAAACATATCTGGCAAAGCAAGACATTGCTATTTTCGCACTTTAAAACTTGTCATCGAAGGAAGAAACATACTAAACAAATACAGATCAATTATCATGTGAACAACGAAAGAGTTTTGACTTGTGTGTGCTTTTATATACAATCATGTAAAATCAAAAAAGTAAGTTTAAAATGGATTGTATTGGACGCTCCGTACTCGTTGCTGCTTGGAGGAAGTTGTCTGCTTTCGTAGTTGTTTCCTTGACCAATACACGTTAGTCTGGTTGCTGTGGATGGAATGCGACGGTCTTACCAATTGTTGTTCAGTGAGTGACAATCATACAAGGTAACACTGGCGCAAACTGACCATGGCTTTTAACCGGGTGATAGACCCAAAAACCAACAAAAAGTGACCTATTCACGACAACTTCTAGTCTCCAGTAACAATACAGAAATTCATTCCTGAACTCTGATATACTCTATAGCGCACTGTGCTGAAGCCACAATTTCCAATAGGTATATGAAATTTAAAACAGCTAAATAATGACTTACACTGCATTATATATTTTTTCGTCTTGCTCGTCAGTGACGCAAATGAAGATGATATATATTGGTCTCAATTATGCTAAAAGATAGAGAGCTTTGTGTAACTAAACTTCACCGCAATGATTTCCAAAGAATGTCAAGTATTTGTCTATTACCTAAAACATGACAGTAAAACCACACAATCAAGTTGAAGCAAATAATGTTAACTAATAATCCATTAGCAGTGTCTTTCATTAATTATGCAAATGATTGTAAAAATGAAATGAAGGTGATTGGAATTGTAATGTGTTGTTAAATCCCTGCTCCAATAGTAGAAACAAAAATTAACGCATTCAACTTGTTGCTGTTACAGAGTGTTCGAATACAGGTAACAGGTGTTCTTCCAGGCGGAGAATATTTCCAGAGGACAAACCTACAAGTGATATCCCCTGTTAATGTGAAGCTTCGATTAATAACAAACTTAGGTAGGTAAATTCACGGTTTCAGTGTTAATCGAGGGGGGGGGGAGAGAGAGTCTACTCTGATATTTTAGTATGTTGGCACTGTAGGAACCAGCGTCAGTGTTCTCATGTCAATAGGCATTGTTTTTTCGGCTTTTGAGAAAGAAAAAATAACTAAAAGGGACAAAGAATAAGAAGTGGATTTCTCTTATGTGGTTTTGTCAATGAAACGTAAATTGTCCAACAACACAATGCTAAGAGATTAGTGTCTGTATTCTTATTTATTCATATATTCGGTAAATGACGTCATGAAGTATAGAAATATAGAGGGCTTGTATCAAAAAAAACATAATGTTTAGATTTATAGTTACTACTTAGCCACATTTCATCATACAGAATATCTAATACCATTACCTCTCTTGAACAGCTAATATACAAACAAAATCTCGTAGCTGCAAAAAACTAGTGTTTATCTATAGACTGATGAAAATATTATATTTAAATTAGAATAAAGGTGGAGATGTTGATTTTTGTACTAAAAACGAGATTTTTTTATGAATTAGTACGTAGCGTTGATTTAAATGACAATGTCCTATTTCACTCATTGTAACTAAATAATTACTGTAAAAGCAGTTTCTCCTGCGGCATACTTTTCTTAAAAGGCTTAAAAGAAAATAACAATATCGTTGATATTTGACTTCGTTAATTTATATACGTCTATAAATTTGTTTATACTAATTATGAAAGGTTGTGGATTCGTGAATGAAGTGTAATCTCTAAGACTGTACGAATGATATACACATTTTAGAATATCAGCTTCATTCTAATATGTATTTTGTTTTGCTCATGCAGAATCCTTTCCCTTCAATAAACCAATCAACATTACCTACCAGCTGGAAAGTTACGGTTCGATCAATCAGACGCTCTTGGTTGACATAGACACCGATTTCGGACGTTTGCCTACTGCATCCTATACAGTGAGTCCAGGAGAGGTCAATGAGTACAACTTTGAGGTCACAGGAAAAGCATCCTATCATACAATGTAGGTTTCAATGAAATCACTGTAGGAATTTTTTTTTAAAAAAAACTGATCGCTATTACAACAGGTATTCTAAGATATCTTTATCATTCTTTTCTAACTCACTAGATAAATTTATAATAAGCATTGACGACTGTGTCCTTTATAAATGATGCAAAATCGTCACAAGTGAGTCAACAGTTTAAATTTGAGGGTTGACGGACGAGGAACATGTAAATGCGATCAAGCATACAAACGATTATGATGAAGAGGGTCATTTGATACAACATGTTAAGCATTGTTGAAAAATTAAGTTGAATGAACATAAAGAAGACAACGTATTTGTTATTGAGTACTTTACTGTCAAAGAAGAACACCAATCATCAGCAATCTATCAATATCTGTCAAAATATTTAATAACTTATCGAGAAGAATATTAACACAGCATCATCTCAAATCGTCACAGAAAATGATCTTACACACAAACAAAGCCTCATGATAAATGCAAGTAATATCAGGTTGTCTATATGAGAACCGGGTTTATAATAAAGCAACAACTAAATATAACGATGTATCATACGTTATACATAAGGTAACTGTAACATTATTGAAGGTTTATCATACGAAATTGGGTTTTAAATGCCGCTTCTTTCCCTAGGAGATACACGGTGTCAGTGAGAGAGATTGGCTTAGATGTGATAGAACAATCCCTATCGGGTACCGCCTGGGTAAGTTTATTATACATATCAATAATAGAAGGATATTAGACAGCTTTCTTTAACTGCTTACAATATGACTATTTGCCAAAGTCTATTATCTAAATGCAGAAGACGGGATCAGATTCCCAATAAAAATCGTTTAAATGTCTCCAAAACCAAAGACAATGTCAGTAGGTGGTAACTCCAAACTAAATAAAAACCAGGCCATAGAATGAACATAATATTTACACGGAAAATGTTACGAGAAGAGGACAAGGTGTTCCGGAACAATTAGCGTCTTCTGTTTCATCGACGACACCTGCCATGTAAACCATAGTCAATCCAAATAAGTAATGTCACGTGCTGAAATGGGAACAAGGTAAACAGGAATGCAAACTACCGAGCATCAAACACGTCCAGTAAATAGACGATTTCTCTATAAGATCACTATGAGGACCGTAAAACTTCCTCATAATTTTTAACAACCTTCATCTTTTGAAACCCTGTGATAGAGGCTGGTCGTCAGTTGACAATTTTTTTTTTTTTCGTGAAAACCATAAGCATGCCAACAGTGTTTGATTTTACCTGAAACGCTTAAGTATAGTTCACAATCATATATTTGTACCGTTATTCATTTTTCTTAGGGAAAAAACCCTAAGTAGAGACCGAAGGCTTCTTTCAGTTAATGGGGTAAATTTGTGTATGGAGAGGGAACTGTCAATTGTGGCCATATAAGAAATGTTTCCTTAGAAAGTGGTATTGAATATTGTCAGAAGCTCTGAGGATTTTTTGATAAAAAATTATTTTCATTTATTATATAGTTTGAAGATCCAGTATGTGATGTTATATCAAACTACGGCGCATGCCCAGAGACAGTCAATTCACCTGTTTCATGTCAGTCTTTCACGTGGTTAAGTCAAGCAGTTTTCTCAGCGGAAGTTACGTCATATCGAATATCGGCAAACAATTCAATCGTTCAGATAGCTGAATTTGACACCACTCTTGATGGGAAGGTGTATGTAAATGTGAGGTACGCTCTCCTTTGTATACTTATTCAAATATTATTTAATTAGCTAATTAAAATGCAGATTTGTTCTATTATTTTTTTGGAACTGAACAACATTTACCCAAATGTGACACATCGGATTTTTCTTAAGAAGCAAGAAATATCAATTATTACGTAGCATTATTATCATTAGAAAATAAGACGTTTGGAATGGTAATGTCTTTCAAAACAAATTACTATTGACTTGAGCATTTCGAATAACCCGCCGGCTTATCCTCTTTTACAACAACCATATTAAGCGCCCAACGTATTTCTCAAATTTATTGTACATTGTCGCAAAGGGTCGGATCAAAAATATGACCGGGGGATTCCAAAAGTAAGAAAACGGGAATAATTGGTAAAATTATTTAAAAAGTGTCGAAGGAAAGGGATGGGGGAAAAGCAAATTAGTCACATTGTGTTTTGTCTCTAATAGTTGCATATGACGAAACCAAAAAACTCATTGCGTGATATCATTTGACAGTGGTGACTGTTGTTCTCCGTCTGTGTACCTGAACACTTTCGGATCTGACGACCTGATGAATGGGCAATGTGAGTTTAACTTTGGCTCCATACCAACCATCACAATTAAGGTAAGACTGAAAAGTTTATTTAAATATCTTTCGCTCCGGTTTGATTTAACAGGGTGTCGAATTAAGACAGAATAAGAAATGATTATTATATATCGATATATTTTCTTCTATGAATGACATAACATGGGGTTTCCTTCTGGCGGAGTTTTATTACATTTGCATTACGTTCCGTTAATATTGGAACATTGATCAATTTATACCTACTTAAATTTAATATACACACAAAGGTGTAGCATATGTTTAAATATGTGTGGTGAATAAGGTGTATTTGGTCAATAAATATGATTAATGCAGAGCGTCATATGATTTTTACTTGTATACGAATGTCACAGAGAATTCTACAAAACGATACTTACATGAGGTTACACAGTTTTGTGATGTGATCTTATACAACATGTATATTTCTACTGTTTAGGGTACGACACCTACTGAGTTTAGCACGAATTGGACAACATTTGGATGTGTCTTCGGTGCGGTTGTTATCTGTCTTATCATATTTGGAATTCTAGCATTATGGTGCCGAAAACGTACTGGAAAATTACACATAACAGATTTTGAAACCATGTAGAATGCAATGCTTTTATCAGCAAAACAGATTGGTGTTTTATCAACAGTACTGGATGGTGTATGAACAGTCCTGAATGGTGTATAAACGACACTGAATGGTGTATAAACAGTACTGGATGGTGTATAACAGTACTGGATGGTGTATAAACAGTATTAGATGGTGTATAAACAGTACTGGATGGAGTATAAACGACACTGAATGGTGTATAAACAGTACTGGATGGTGTATAAACAGTACTGGATGGAGTATAAACGACACTGAATGGTGTATAAACAGTACTGGATGGTGTATAAACAGTACTGGATGGTGTATAAACGACACTGAATGGTGTATAAACAGTACTGGATGGTGTATAAACAGTACTGGATGGTGTATAAACGACACTGAATGGTGTATAAACAGTACTGGATGGTGTATAAACAGTACTGGATGGTGTATAAACGACACTGAATGGTGTACAAAACAGTACTGGATGGTGTATCAATTTAAGTAGCAATAATTTGTGTCATCAGCTAGCTGTTACAAATGTGTTGATTGTTTTCTACTAAACCATAAAGTGATAGATACATCATTTGATCATTTTTCTTAGGTAAACTGTGTTTTTATTTGCATGTTTTCTAAAGAGAAATAGCTCTGGTCACATTTGTTATATCAAAGAACAAAGTGAGAGGATATAAACACCATAAATGAATGCACATTTAACTGCCTGATTCAGAGCGAATCTGAAGCGAGTTTTTTAATTAGGTTTTATATTTTGTATATCTTTACATGCAAATAACGTACATTAAACAAGACTTACACATCCACATGAAACCGAGTTGCATCATCATCATCATCATCATCCTCATCAGGTGACAGCCGGATGGTGCCTCTTTCACCTTTCAGTGCGGTGTGTGATTTCCTGCCGGGATATGCTTATGAAGTTGAACACTTTCTGGACCACACGGGTTTCCCGCGATATTTTTTATTTCTTCTGACGGTGCAGAAAGAGCGATTAACACAAGGTGAAATAACGATGGCATTTTATATATAATTCAGAGAATAGAAATTTATGTAATTAAAAAGAAATGTTTTTTTGTGAAAAGACGACTGAAGACATTACTGTTAAGACATACTGAAAGGCAGTGCTTATGTATGTTTACAAGTCGTCATCAATTACATGAAAATAATTCTCTCCATCTTTCTTCTTTTCTCTAACCTAATGATGATGTTCTTGCTGTTTAACAAGTCATCAACAGCTTTTAAACTTTTTTTGATAAAACAATGTTTACGCGGAGTCATCGATGTCGTAATTGTATAAACATTTTCAATTGTGGAACTATTCCGACCAGCATTTGTCCTGATATTATAAGTTAGATAGTCACTTACTATATATTTTACTGACCCTCTGTTGCTCTATAGAGGGTCAGTAAGTGACTATCTAACGAATTTATCGTATCAAGGACCCTTTTCATACATTAACCACCCCTGTATCTATAACAACGCAATCACAATTTAACAAACCAGTCTGACATCAGTTCCAAACAGTAACTTCAAAATAAATCCCTTAGTTTGAAATAGATCTCGATATGGCTCAAACTTTTCTTAAAAATGGGATAAATCTCGTCTTATTGATGTGGACTGAACGATTCTGTGTTTTGTTTTCTTTCCAATAAATAATCCCTGAAGCACTCAGCTGCCATTTGGTTAGCCTTTAAGGTCTTTGATGCTTTACTATTTAGTCTTTTTTGTTGATATCTGCCGATGTCGTCTGTCCAAAGCGGTCCATTGTGTAAACATTCCGAGTGGCCGAGACGCTTGAAACGCCACCAAAAAATAGCTCTAAACTGCACTTAAAATTTCTACGACGTAAGGGGAATACCTCTTATCATTGTCATGTTTTTTTTTTTCCGAAAGACAAAGGAAACAACTGTATTCAACATCAAGACCGAAGAGGCGATTTTGTAAAGTGAAACACAGTTCATTTTCCGAAACGGTTGACATGGTCGGTGCCATTAAATCCGAGGTGCGATAAAGTTCTAAATAGGTGTTTGCTTCACGCAACTTATTTTAAACACATTATTTTAATGGAATTTTTTAAATAGGTAAAATTTTATGTATGATGAAATTAAGAGCACTTTATCTTAGTTCAATCGGTTGAGCGTCTGACTAGTAAGCCAGAGATGTATGTATTGATATACAGTTGTTGATGACAAGATACAGGGACTATCTCTGTTTCGGTAACCGACTTTAGTTATGTATGCATACGCCAATGGAATACTAAAGGTCATGGACAGCGTGGGAAGCTATGATAGGTTTTGATCAGCCGAGTCATTATGCTGTGCCACACACACACATATCGTCGGCCAAGAGTCAATACCTTGTAACTCTATTGAGTGAGATTTGTCAGGAGACACTAAAATAACTTTTTGATATCCTTTCCTTTACAGCATGATAACAATGCTTCTATATGTCATTGATAATGAAATTATAAAACTTATTGTGACTTCAATTATTATTTTTATATGTTCACAGGAGCTATATATAGACTTACGAGGTTTTTTCCTCGAAACTTAACAAGGATATTGTAATTGTTCAGGTGTAACATTGCCTAAAAAAAGACAAAAACAAAAACAAACAAAAAAAACAAATCAAAGAAAGTTAATTCAGTTTTATTTCCAACTATTAAGATTGTTGAGAAATAAACAAAGGGGTGCAAACTATCATAGCCATTCATGCATTTGCAAAATATAATCTCAACGGAATGTTTTGAAATTATTATCGATACGGGAAAAATAAAATTAACTAACGACTATATTAAAACATTTGATAATTTTTAAAGGAATATAGATATAAGATCTGTAGCAGTAGATTACATGCCTATAGAAACACATGAACTCGATATCAATGAACGGACAAACAAGCGCAAATTGAACATTCAACTCAAACTTTCATTTATCTTCAGCTGACTGTAGTTATAAAGTTATACGACTTGAACCATAATGACATGACAATTGAGTAAATAGACTAAAAACACATAAATAAAACTTAGAAATATCTGATAGACAGACAAAATCAACTGGCAACTTAACATTTAACTCTGGCTTTTAACTATCTTAAGCTGATTATAGCTATAAAACCGAATATAGTTATAACTTTCAACTATCTTTAACTGAAACACAGTTATAATAATGACACCATAATCACAAAACAATCGAGCAAATAGACTAAATCCACCTCAATTGAATGCTACATTTCGGAAGAACAAACAAGTTAATAACTAACATTTGTCTCCAACTTTAAATTATCTTGATGACTAGTATTAATGAAAGTTTTACCATATGACACGAAAATTTAACTTATAAAATAGTTTATCTTGTGTGAAATTATCAAATAAGCAGCAAATATTCAAAATTACTATAACTTTTAGGGCTAAAAAACACAACTTTCAACGACATAATAGTACAACCAAATACCTCTTGGTAAGTATCTATTCAATCCATGAAAAATTTTGAATAAGTTTTGTTTTTTACAACAGTTTAAAGTTCATTTAACTACAACAAAGCTGGTCCTATCTTTGTCCACTAATTGCTGTGGGGCAAAGCATCATAAAAGCCATGGTAATCCTTTGGAATAACTTTTTTCAATTCTTGCAGGTGTCCATATTTCCTGTCCTTTATATTTAATGGGGCATTGTGCAACTGTGTGACCGTTACTTGTGGTCCTTGGCACTTTGCACGTCTTAGCAATTCATTGAAATCTTCATTATACATAAGTTTGTACTCAATGTTTCCGTCGGGGGTATACTTCAGCACACTGATATCCGTAACACAAGCATCACCAACTTTTGTACCTGGGCGAATGGAAGAGTAATAACGAACATTTGAGTAATCCATGAAGAATGTATGATCCTAGTACTTAACTTTGTATGGATTTGACAGTCGCGCTGACTTGATAGCTTCCACATAGTTGGCGGGACTGTAAATTGTTTTGTGGCGCAGACTCCTTTCGATGGTACTATGTATACTATCACATTCCATCTGAGTGTGTCCTTTTTCCAGGATCTTTTGCGTAATGGTCATTCCTTTTGTTACAACTAAATGCAACAAAGCATTTGCCAGGGTAATATTCCTGTTCTGATACGTACAGCCATCACTGTAGATTGTAATTTGGTCTGTATCTCCTAATTCATTTGTGATATAGTCTCACAAACAGGATGCAAAACTATTTGACCCAAGATCCCTTTCACCTTCATGCCAAAAGTAACATACTACATTGTGTAACGTCAAGTCATACATCGTAAAGTTATGACAGGATAGTTTAGTTTTGTGGTACATAGCGCTCGCTTGCAGACATGGTGTCAACAACACAGCCTGCAAGTCTAATGTTATAACCTTTCCTTGACCATCCTCTGCTGCCTGTTTGTCTTTTGATTTTTCTTCTCTGGCCTGTGTTTTCCGATCTATGTGTTTCTTGTACTCTGATTCTTCTACATTACCAGATTCAAATGCACAGTAAACATCACACTGATCTTTTTGGGGTTGGAACAAACCAATGTTCTTGTCTCTAACAACATCATTAAACACTGTTTGTGACAATGGGTCGTTGTTCTTTTCTTTGCAATGTTCCACATACAAGCGATAGTGCTGAACCTGAGATCTGATGCATGGCTTCAAATACATCTTGTCAGTTGAGGCTTAGCAATAATGCGAAGGAAGTTTCGGCAAGGAATCTAAAAACCGGTTTACAATTTCCCTCTTTGCCGCATGTTCCGGTTTAGCTCGTTTAGGCGTAGTATTCTCGGACGATGGACTGTGCATTCCAGACTTTGATGTATTAAGCCAACTGTGTACTGACCACTCTCCTAAACCTAAAGTTGACAGGAACATACTTTTGCAGACCTTAAAACGACCATCACTTTTCTTCAAGTGATACGCATCACTTTGTTTCCTTCTAGAGTTCCCCTGTTCTGTTGTTTGTTCCTTTGTCTTTATGGAATCCACCATTGTAGAAACGTACATCTTTTTTTAGACCAATCCATGTCCCAGAAGCTGGAAATATTTCTTGCCTGGTTTCATTTGAAAATTCTGAGCAATGTCTAATTTTGCTCCTCAGACAGAGGTTGGAACAGCAACGAGGGCCCATATGTCTTGGTTCTCTGTCAATTTCTGTGTATTGTCCATCCACTGTTTTTCGTACGCTTTTATACGATTATCCCTTCATTCTAGATGCTTTGTTTATATTGCGTTTCCATTGTTTTGGATTACTTCTCCCCTTTTTGGCCTTTTTAGACTTTGTTGGTCCCGTACTTATGTTCTCTTCAAGTTCGCTGAGACTTGATTCATCCTCATGACATGCTATATCAATATCTTCTACAGTTTCTTCTGAGGACTTTGGCGGAGCCCAGTCAGGATCTGCATCTGAATCCTCAAGATATTCCTCAAGCTCAGATAATTCATTAAGCAAACATGTAGATTTATGTTGCTAAGACTGGTAATCTTATTCAATGCAAGTTGTAGACAAATCTGACCTCTTGAAAGTGTAAAATGTTTGAAATCTTTAGCAGCCATTCTTACAATTTGGATGAAAATTAAACTCCAATGTCTTATATTCTCCGTTTCCCTTGTATTCTATTACTATGTAGCGTGGAGTTGTTTGTGGGAAAAAGCTATGATAGCAATGTGAAATAAAATTATATTGTTTACACACTGATGAGTATTGTACTAATTCTCTCCTTCTAAGTATTTGAGAAATGTTCCGTGTGTCTGAAGTAACTTGTATTGTGTCACTGTTCCTAAGCCATTCATATGAATTAGAATTAGAAGTCATACTTTCGGTCTTGGTCTCATGAACCACCCACAATGTGAACACGTGTAGTAATCACTTTCAATATCTTCTATTTCCGCGTCAGAAGGGAAGTTATCAATACATTTCAAATGAAAATGTCTATCGCAGTAATAGCAACGTAACCATTCGGTCCCATCAACATAAAAAAGTTGTCAGCATCTATTGGCGTTTCATTACATTCAAAACATGTCCATATCACATCATAGTCCTCTACAGAACCTTCAGGGTCGGACCTACAATGAATAAAATTACTGTAGCATCTCACTTTGAACTTTTACACTGCCAACTAATTGGACTGCAATATTTGGAATTATATATATTCAATTTGGTAATCATGAGACTGATTTTGTAAGTGATTAATGTATTACAGACACATGTACATTGTACTAGGGTAATTAGAACTTCAGGACTGATTAATTTGACAGGCGATTGAATTATTGATATAATTTACTAAAGTTATTGAAAAACTCACTTTATAGACGAAAATGTTATAGCTAGTGTATGATTTTCAGTTAAGTCTATAGATAAATCCAGTATAGCCATAGTTGCAACATTGTAAACCTGTGATTTAACTCCATAGCTTAATTGTCGGTGATAACAAAAGCTAGTATCTCCTGGGCACGAAACCATCTAAATCAAACACAAAAACACGTAACACTTTTAAACTCCAAAATATGAAATATTAGACGGTTTCATCAATTAAATTTCTTATATAACATCCCTTGTTATTTAGATAAAATCTATCCAAAAACAAAATTTATGATTGAACAATAAGGTTAATTGTGATATTCATGTCAGTAAGGTCATACCACCGGTACTTCAGCGATGGAAAAAGTAGCGTTTCCAACAAGAACGGCAAAATAAACTACATTGTAGCACAGGTAACCACCTATAAACTAATTTGAGTAGTAATTACTCTGATATAAGGTAAAATAAAATACTTACATATCACGATTCTCTTCCACGTGTTCTACTCAATGCCACCTCTGGACTTTTCAGCATCATAATAATATACTGTCAAAATCTCTTAAGTCAAGATACATGGTTTTGCCTTTAGGAACTTGCAGTCTTCTGATTGTATTGAGACACAAGCTTTTTTGACAAGAAATATAACAGCAGGTATATTGCCATCTTGTTAAAATCCTACTTTGGTCAAAATTCAGAGTTACGAGGTTTTGACTCCTGGCTGACGATATATATATACATACTTGTAAATAAACTACGGGTATTGCGTGTACTTGTGGCTGATATGTCCTTGACCTTTAGGGAACGTATATTTGTTTACGTCTGAAGGTAGTTGTGCCGGTATAAACAACCGGTCTGTAGTTTGTGTATTCACTGTTTGTGTCGTACTTACTATACCCTTGTATTCGGAGAACGTTTTAACCAAGCGAGAGGTGCATGTTCAGAATAAACACAATAATTCTTCGAGGTTCGTTATGTGTATGTGGTGGAGCATGGTGAGGAGGGAGATGTATGTTCAGAATAAACACAATAATTCTTCGAGGTTCGTTATGTGTATGTGGTGGAGCATGGTGAGGAGGGAGATGTATGTTCAGGATAAACACAGTAATTCTTCGAGGTTCGTTATGTGTATGTGGTGGAGCATGGTGAGGAGGGAGACGCATGTTCAGAATAAACACAATAATTCTTCGAGGTTCGTTATGTGTATGTGGTGGAGCATGGTGAGGAGGGAGACGCATGTTCAGAATAAACACAATAATTCTTCGAGGTTCGTTATGTGTATGTGGTGGAGCATGGTGAGGAGGGAGACGCATGTTCAGAATAAACACAATAATTCTTCGAGGTTCGTTATGTGTATGTGGTGGAGCATGGTGAGGAGGGAGACGCATGTTCAGGATAAACACAATAATTCTTCGAGGTTCGTTATGTGTATGTGGTGGAGCATGGTGAGGAGGGAGACGCATGTTCAGAATAAACACAATAATTCTTTGAGGTTCGTTATGTGTATGTGATGGAGCATGGTGAGGAGGGAGATGCATGTTCAGAATAAACACAATAATTCTTCGAGGTTCGTTATGTGTATGTGGTGGAGCATGGTGAGGAGGGAGACGCATGTTCAGGATAAACACAGTAATTCTTCGACGTTCGTTATGTGTATGTGGTGGAGCATGGTGAGGAGGGAGATGCATGTTCAGAATAAACACAGGAATTCTTCGAGGTTCGTTATGTGTATGTGATGGAGCATGGTGAGGAGGGAGATGCATGTTCAGGATAAACACAGTAATTCTTTTAGGTTCTTTATGTGTATGTGATGGAGCATGGTGAGGAGGGAGATGCATGTTCAGAATAAACACATAAACACAATAATTCACATGTGGTGGAGCATGGAATTCTTCGAGGTTCGTTATGTGTATGTGGTCGAGGTTCGTTATGTGTATGTGGTGGAGCATGGTGAGGAGGGAGATGCATGTTCAGAATAAACACAATAATTCTTCGAGGTTCGTTATGTGTATGTGATGGAGCATGGTGAGGAGGGAGATGCATGTTCAGAATAAACACAATAATTCTTTGAGGTTCTTTATGTGTATGTGGTAGAGCATGGTGAGGAGGGAGATGCATGTTCAGAATAAACACAGTAATTCTTCGAGGTTCGTTATGTGTATGTGGTGGAGCATGGTGAGGAGGGAGATGCATGTTCAGGATAAACACAGTAATTCTTCGAGGTTCGTTATGTGTATGTGGTGGAGCATGGTGAGGAGGGAGATGCATGTTCAGAATAAACACAGGAATTCTTCGAGGTTCGTTATGTGTATGTGATGGAGCATGGTGAGGAGGGAGATGTATGTTCAGGATAAACGCAGTAATTCTTTGAGGTTCGTTATGTGTATGTGGTAGAGCATGGTGAGGAGGGAGATGTATGTTCAGGATAAACACAATAATTCTTCGAGGTTCGTTATGTGTATGTGGTGGAGCATGGTGAGGAGGGAGACGCATGTTCAGAATAAACACAATAATTCTTTGAGGTTCGTTATGTGTATGTGATGGAGCATGGTGAGGAGGGAGACGCATGTTCAGAATAAATACAGTAATTATTTGAGGTTCTTTATGTGTATGTGATGGAGCATGGTGAGGAGGGAGACGCATGTTCAGAATAAATACAGTAATTATTTGAGGTTCTTTATGTGTATGTGGTGGGGCATGGTGAGGAGGGAGATGCATGTTCAGAATAAATACAGTAATTATTTGAGGTTCTTTATGTGTATGTGATGGAGCATGGTGAGGAGGGAGACGCATGTTCAGAATAAATACAGTAATTATTTGAGGTTCGTTATGTGTATGTGATGGAGCATGGTGAGGAGGGAGATGCATGTTCAGAATAAACACAGGAATTCTTCGAGGTTCGTTATGTGTATGTGGTGGAGCATGGTGAGGAGGGAGATGCATGTTCAGGATAAACACAGTAATTCTTTTAGGTTCTTTATGTGTATGTGATGGAGCATGGTGAGGAGGGAGATGCATGTTCAGAATAAACACAATAATTCTTCGAGGTTCGTTATGTGTATGTGGTGGAGCATGGTGAGGAGGGAGACGCATGTTCAGGATAAACACAATAATTCTTCGACGTTCGTTATGTGTATGTGGTAGAGCATGGTGAGGAGGGAGATGTATGTTCAGGATAAACACAGTAATTCTTTTAGGTTCTTTATGTGTATGTGGTGGGGCATGGTGAGGAGGGAGATGCATGTTCAGGATAAACACAGTAATTCTTCGACGTTCGTTATGTGTATGTGGTGGGACATGGTGAGGAGGGAGATGCATGTTCAGGATAAACACAGGAATTCTTCGACGTTCGTTATGTGTATGTGGTGGGACATGGTGAGGAGGGAGACGCATGTTCAGAATAAATACAGTAATTCTTTGAGGTTCTCTCTCTCTCTCTCTCTCTCTCTCTCTCTCTCTCTCTCTCTCTCTCTCTCTCTCTCTCTCTCTCTCTCTCTCTCTCTCTCTCTCTCTCTCTCTCTCTCTAAAAATATATTAGCCAATATTAATGTAAATTATTGATGACTTTATATAGTGATGTTTTTGGTTTGTAATGTATTGAGGAAAGGGCAACTATAGGTTGAAATAACTTGTGCCCGATCCTTTTGTAAACAATTGACAATGATATGTTTAATTCAAGCGCTTATGTTTTACATCATGTGTTTTCCGGAGTTTTTTCTCTTTTTTTTTCTATATTTACTTGGCACGGAGAATTATATCTGTTGTCTTTACTCTCTTAGTTATAGACTCCTTACTGACTAATTTCTGGTCAAAGTTCGTTCATATCTACCGCTTGCAATAAAGCTATCAAGCCTTGTTAAAACATTACACACGTTCATTTGTACGTTCACATCGCCTTGTCACCGTTGAATATCAACAAGCCCAGACTATTTTCGTAATAGTTAATTGTAAAATATTGGTATTATAAAGGATCTGTTTTGCTATATATAAAAATAGCTAATGATTTATATCCTGATCTATAATCATTTCCCAATGAAACCTGAATATATCCCACTTGTTTTTTGAGCGACAAAACACAGAAGCGTCATTCATATTCATATGCTTCTATCTAAAGCTAGGCTTAATACAGATGTACAAAGGAACTTTTCATTTAAAACTAGGTTTAATTCGTATTGTTTCAACGTAGGTGTGCAATACCTGAACCTAAGTATACTACAACTAGGATGTACACTATGGTTATAATAAACCAATAGCTACCACTAGGATGTACACTATGGTTATGATAAACCAAAAGCTACAACTAGGATGTACACTATGGTTATAATAAACCAAAAGCTACCACTAGGATGTACACTATGGTTATAATAAACCAAAAGCTACAACTAGGATGTACACTATGGTTATAATAAACCAATAGCTACCACTAGGATGTACACTATGGTTATGATAAACCAAAAGCTACAACTAGGATGTACACTATGGTTATAATAAACCAAAAACTACCACTAGGATGTACACTATGGTTATGATAAACAGAAAGCTACAACTAGGATGTACACTATGGTTATAATAAACCGAAAGCTACCACTAGGATGTACACTATGGTTATAATAAACCAAAAGCTACAACTAGGATGTACACTATGGTTATAATAAACAGAAAGCTACAACTAGGATGTACACTATGGTTATAATAAACAGAAAGCTACAACTAGGATGTACACTATGGTTATAATAAATAGAAAGCTACAACTAGGATGTACACTATGGTTATAATAAACCAAAAGCTACAACTAGGATGTACACTATGGTTATAATAAACAGAAAGCTACAACTAGGATGTACACTATGGTTATAATAAACAGAAAGCTACAACTAGGATGTACACTATGGTTATAATAAACCAAAAGCTACAACTAGGATGTACACTATGGTTATAATAAACCAAAAGCTACAACTAGGATGTACACTATGGTTATAATAAACCAAAAGCTATAACTAGGATGTACACTATGGTTATAATAAACCAAAAGCTACAACTAGGATGTACACTATGGTTATAATAAACCAAAAGCTACAACTAGGATGTACACTATGGTTATAATAAACCAAAAGCTATAACTAGGATGTACACTATGGTTATAATAAACAGAAAGCTACAACTAGGATGTACACTATGGTTATAATAAACCAAAAGCTACAACTAGGATGTACACTATGGTTATAATAAACCAAAAGCTACAACTAGGATGTACACTATGGTTATAATAAACCAAAAGCTACAACTAGGATGTACACTATGGTTATAATAAACCAAAAGCTACAACTAGGATGTACACTATGGTTATAATAAACAGAAGTACACTATGGTTATAATAAACCAAAAGCTATAACTAGGATGTACAGTATGGTTATAATAAACACATTGAAAATTGCCAAATCACCGTAAATATCACCACAAATGTTCCACCACCCAAACGTCGTCGAATCATAGTGATCGAGAGCGACAGCGACTCGGAATAGGAGATCGTGTGACGTCACGCCTTGAATTTATATATTTTGAGAAAATGTTAAAACAGTGAAAAGATACATTGATATATTTCTTAAAATGATCGAATATGTGATTTTGATGATAAAACTATATGTTGAATTACAAAAATCCGTTCCTTGTTTATTTCTTTGAAGTATTTGACGGAACAATTTATTTTCGCGGATGTTTACTTACACATACTATATAATCACACAGAGATCATTTTTTTTTTTTTTTCATAAGCGAATAATATATCTATCCAGCAATATACCGAAAAATGGTTTGAAATTTGACAGTAAACTGAAAGTTTGCAAAATATGGGTATGATTGTTAAGAATATCCAGCTCGTTGTTTATAAAAACCTCGGATTAAAAAAATGAAAAAAATGAAGATAATGGCCGACCGACTGTCCTTTTCCCAAAATTTTGGTAAAGATATGAGAGAAAAAGATTCTTTCATTATGTGTGTATGTAGGATAGGGATATTCCACCCTCGGGGTTACAAAATATGGTAAAACCCTCGTGTGGAATATCCATATCCTACATACACGCATATGAAATAGTCTTATCGTAAAAATAAACCAAAATTGATTATGTAAACTTTAATGTACAATGTCCTGTTTGGTCCTACTCCTAAGGCGTAAGGCGGCGACGACCCTCCATTTATACAAAATTTGCTATTCTTCTCACAAGAATGCTTTACACCAAAGTTATTTGCTTGCATCGTTTGCTGACTTTCATGGAAATGAAAGTTTATTACGGCATTGAAGGTTATGTTACCAATAAACAACCCCGGTTCTTTCAGATGTCTGATTTTGTGAGGGGGTGTGTGTTTGTGTTTGTGTGTTTGAGTGTTTTTTTGTTTCTTTTTTTTTTTTTTTTTTTCAACGGGCATTATGAATTGTAAGTCAATTCCCATATTTGCTAAGTTTTCAAAATTCTCATCGGGGAGAACAGTGTTTGAACGACATGTTCGACTCGCCACGACAATTTAATCACAAATTACAAGCAAATATGCAAGGTAGCATATAGCTTTAACTCAGACACAAATCACAAGTTTTCCTGTTCAATGTAATAGGTTACTTTAATGATGACGCAGAACAGAAGACTTCAAATATAATCGTAGAAAATAACAGTTTCTTTGTAAAAAGGAAAAACGTATGAGGAATCCTGCATTTTCCGATATTGCATAATATGTCATTGGATAATTTAATGTAATATGCTTACAAAAGAAATCTTCATTTTGTTTGCTTCAATCTATGTTTACATTTACAACCGAGGTTTGAGAATCGGAACACTATATAGCATGTAAATTTAAAAGAAAAAAAAATGTATAAGCCTTTGATCGCCTGTAATTGATATACTATCAACAACATACTGTTCAGGAAATTAAATGGTTTCGACGAGTTTTGATCTCGGTTTCCTGTATCGGCGAATAGCTACAAACACTGCGATCACTGATATTCCCACTGCACTGACGATCACGGCAATAAATAGATGGTCGTCTATACTGATGTACTGCGCATGACCGGATGTTTTGCTCTCACCTTTTACTCCTACATCACGTCTTAAGCGACCTGAATCGAAGTCAAGGTATACCATGTTAACAATGCCATAGTGAATAAGACTTTTTAGTAATATGAAGTTATCGTTTTACCAGTGAGTATGATATAAGTAATCTTTAAATAACCACTTGCATCATTCGAAGTCATAATATATCGATTTATGTATTTCCGTTACTTGACAACGTGTGCAGGTTATTTTACTTTCATCATAAAAATGGATACGACAAAGAAGTTAGATAAATATTATTTACCAGCAAATGTTAAGTCTTAAATAGGCGTTGCAACTATGAACATTTCAAGGTTAAGATAATAAATTTTAATGAAACATATTGGAAATGCTGGAAGTTTATTTATTTTCTTTTTGATGTGTGTATTTATCTAATTGTTTTGTATATGTTATTGAGTGTAATCATTTATCTATCTTAACACGTACCTTTTGACAGACGTAAAACATCAGAGGTTTGTGCTCGTCTTAGCAATGTCTCGGATGCTGATTGGACGGACCGTCTTTTGACCTGGTGACAGGATTGGTCACATACTGAGGAATAGTCAGTCACGTTACAGAATGTAGCCGTGCAGAATAAGTATAGATTATCCTGATTGGTGGAATATTCAAAGTCACGGAAGACGAACCTTGTCTCGTGAGATGATAAATATATGACGTGGGTATTGACGTCACTGTTACATCTGTAAAGGGAAACATTTGATTTGATGTAAATATACTATTTCTTACCGATTTACACATTTACTAAAAGTTTACTTGGAACATTTGGATATTAACTTCACCCAACAAAAGTTACTTTCCAGCATTCTTTCAACTTTTGATTAAATCAACTAACAATTTTTTTAAGGATACATTAAACTGAAATCTTAAATTTTATATCAACATCAGTTTGATATTTTCCTGCTCTCATTAGTCGACAATTTTAAAATATTCATGTTATTTATTGACTTTCTATGGAAATATGACGTCACATAGGCATGCAAAAACATGTAGCGATAAATCATATGTAGAAAGTTTATCCCATAATTACACAAGAACAAAGAAAACAGAGCGACGTAAGTAGATATCTAACAAACCCGTTCTGTATAAGGTAGTATTTGAGATGGTTCCCAGCACCCCTCGATGGGAGAGTATAGCAAGACTCGACTCTCATTTTGACGTCATAGTCAGAAAGAGGTGTCGTCACACTGACGTAGATGTCTTCCCCGATACCAACAGTCAGAGGATTTCCGTACATTTGCTGTTGATAGCCAGAGTCCCTGAGAAAGCATACCGATATCGAAATAACCGATTATATCTTTAGTTAAAACGTAACGATATCGAAATAACCGATTATATCTTTAGTTAAAGCATACCGATATCGAAATAACCGATTATATCTTTAGTTAAAGCATACCGATATCGAAATAACCGATTATATCTTTAGTTAAAACGTAACGATATCGAGATATCTGATACTGTTTTTAGTTAATATAAAAAAGAATGACGTGCCTGATCAAATTAAATAATTTGCCATAACACGAAGATAGCGAGATATCTAATACTATATTTAGTTATAGCGAATTCGACATATATGATAGTGTCTATACCTATAACATAAAAGCTTCGAGATATATAATTGTGTCTTTAGCTAAACATAAGGTATTGAGATATCTGATAGTGTCATTATAGCATTAAGGTATCGAGATATTTGATAGTGTCATTATAGCATTAAGATATCGAGATATCTGATAGTGTCATTATAGCATTAAGGTATCGAGATATCTGATAGTGTCATTATAGCATTAAGGTATCGAGATATCTGATAGTGTCATTATAGCATTAAGGTATCGAGATATCTGATAGTGTCATTATAGCATTAAGATATCGAGATATCTGATAGTGTCATTATAGCATTAAGGTATCGAGATATCTGATAGTGTCATTATAGCATTAAGGTATCGAGATATCTGATAGTGTCATTATAACATTAAGGTATCGAGATATCTGATAGTGTCATAGCATTAAGATATCGAGATATCTGATAGTGTCATTATAGCATTAAGGTATCGAGATATCTGATAGTGTCATTATAGCATTAAGATATCGAGATATCTGATAGTGTCATTATAGCATTAAGATATCGAGATATCTGATAGTGTCATTATAGCATTAAGGTATCGAGATATCTGATAGTGTCATTATAGCATTAAGATATCTAGATATATGATAATATATTTATTGAAATATCAAAATGTTATGTAAAGGTGAGTGATTATATTTGTAACTAAAGCAAATATATCGATATCACTTGATTTGTTTGCAGTGTTTTTCGTTTTACATAAAGATTTTGAAATATTGGATAGTGTCTATCATGTTAATATAAATATTTCTAGATGTATGATTGTGTCTATAATTATGACATGAAAATATTGATATACAGTGTCTTTAATTATCACAAATAAATTATACATTATACTGGTGTAAAATTTAAAAGTGGGAAATGTATTTGATCACAAGTTCTTTCATTTATAACGACGATAAATGCCACAATAACTTTTTTCAATGTTTCAACGACTCCTTCAATTAGACCAAAGCAAACAAAAAAAAATTTGACGAATACGGATTAGATAAGCATACACTTATTTATCGTCGCTTTGAGACGTTCTATTGAAATGTATCTGTATATCAGCACAAGTTCATTACCAGTATATAAACTGATCCACACAATATCATCATCTGTTATTTATCAATTTGGAAAGAATACGCGATTATCTTTTTTCAGATCTTATCCTAATTATAACTTCATAATTTCAAGGGAGATAATCAGGAAAATAATTATTACGGAAATCACATGCACCTTTCTTACCTATAGAATGCCATATGAATATTGTAATGTCCTGTGCTGGAAATATGTGGGTTATTTCTGTGAGTGCGCGCTTGGTTATGCGTTTGTATGAAGTGCTGCGATACCGTTTCATGCGTCGACATGTCACATTCAACATCAATCTTGAAGCGATACTCTCTAATGATGAATTTATAATTAGCATCTCTGTAAGCATACACCAGGGTATTGGTATACTCAACTCTGTTGGATGTGGTCTGCAAAGAAAAGTTCGGTGACACGTATTTTTTTTTTTTTTTTTTTTACATTTATTTTTTCTATTATCATAACGACTTTTTTAAAACACCTATACCTATGTACATGTACGTTGAACAACCCTATCACTGTCTTCGTTGTCTGCCTATATTTACTGAATACGTGACTTTTAACTAGTACAAATGTTTTGTTTAGATGTTTGTTACATGACCTAGTCATTAAAACTGTGGTCTTCAATTCCAAAATGTTACATTACTTACGAAATGATGGGTTTGGCAGTTGCTGTACTGTTGGTCGATTCGTAGATAATTACCGACTCGGTAACCCTGGCAACCAGGACGACCAAGGTAAATATCCGACGGATCAAAATCACTATGACGTTTGTAAAGTTCGGGTAAATATATCATTATATTCCAAGCGTCTGGATAACAGCCAACTGATATAGCGCTGACATACATATCTAAAACACAAATTGATTTTCCCCATTCGACCAAATTGGTTATTTAATGAATTTATTAGTGTCATTAACAAATATTTTTTTGTTTTTGCAAACAACTTGAAATTTCTAGAAATTCTCAAATACATTTTAAGCTTTCCAAGTCAGATGGAAACTAGATTGTATTGATTTGAAATTTTAATCCAATACTTCATTTTCGACAGGATGTAGATATAATTTCAAGTCCATCAGGGACTTGACAAGTTACCTTGCTGATCTAAATATACACGGAAACGTTTTTCATTAATAAGAAAGTGACATATTTCTATCTGTTAAACGGCTTGGTTTTATATTCAAAAATATGAATATATATCAGTATAAGAAAAGTACCGATGGCATTTAATATTAATGATAAAGAATAGCTACTGCCGAGGTAAAACTATCAAATCGTGGCACTAAGAAGGAGATTAAGATAATTTCTGCATCAATATCAAACCTATCAGAACTCCACTTCATTACTGAACAAATACAAGAAGGAATATTTTTTTCTTTTCTTTTTCATAAACTAAAATGTTTGTAATCTTGTTTCATATTATCTTTTAATCTTACCAGAAGAATAGTGTGAAGCGGCAGAACTCATAACGGTGCTCGGGATCTCTGAAAAGTGATTTGCAAAACAATGCCAAATACATGCTAAACAATAAAGATTCATTTTTTAAAAGTTAAAAAGTTAATTCCTAATTCAAGACAAACTACAAGTGTTATAGTAGAGAAATAATTAAACCGCCATTATCAGTATATATTGAAGAAGAATTGGCGATCATTTGATAAAAGAAAGATTCCTGAACAATGCTTGAGAGCAAAAATCGAAATAGAAAAAGAAGAGAACAGTGTTTACTGCAATCAAATATATAATAAATGAATAAATTAAAAGGTACGGATAATAAAAAAATACTATTTTTTTCCAGTTGATCTATTGAATAAAATGTGGTACTGTTTCTTTAATAGCTTATCACATCATATCCACTCCATAGCAAATATCATATCATCGAAGTTAGTGAATAATTTATTATTACGGTTTCGTTGCGTTTGACATTGTTCCAGTTGAGAGCGTAATATCACTTACTTGCATTAACAATAATTTGCATGTGTCAAAGATTGTACAAAAGACTGTATAACACATTTTCATAATTTAGAGTGAGATAGAGTAGAGACAAACAATAAACTAAATGTCAATTCGTTGGTCAATTTAAGAAAGTAAGGTCACGTTTCCAAATGAGAACACGATAAACGACAACAGAAACGCAAGGAATGCTAACGAGAATAAACAACCGAATATTAAGGTTATATCGCTCGAAGAAAACGACGATTTATCGATGAGATCAATATGTTAAAAGCTTAGAAGGGAACGCCGGTAAAAAAGTGTTAGATATAACATTGATGACGTTTACATCTTTACTAATAATGTTTTGTGGAAAGTTGATTTTAAAATATATCAATATAGATGTTAATGTTTATTTATTTATAATGCGAGTCAACGTATTGATAGAAACCAGGAAAACAACGACAACAAACATCCCGCGAACTGGTGTTAAGGTGTCATGAACATAAGAGGATAGTTCAAATAACTTACCCGTGGTGATATCGGTACCTTTTAAGAAAAAAGTAACTACATTTAAAATTAGCTTAAACGACAATATATGATTATATTGCTATGTTGTCATTTGTCTCACAGCATAGGACGCACAAGAACCGGTAAGCTCATTGTAGTATAGTATGACCGAGTGTGATATCATTTTACATCATCTAACCCAAATGTAACTACAATGCAGTTAAATATTACATTTTAACAGGTAATGTACAACAATTCCATACGAATTTTGTAAAATTTGACTTTTTTTTAGTAAATTATCTGTACTGAATACCAACAAATACAACGAACGTTTAAAACATCTTAATAGAGACAAATTGTAAGTTCAAACTAAAGTAGAAAAGGTGAAATGCTGATTGAAAACAAAATAACCGTACTGCAAAACAACTAGCAAGAATATTGAAGGTAGACTGAAGTTAAATAATAAACCTAAAAACGTTTAATGTGTGCGAGGACAAAAGTTGGTGAAAGGAAATTGTATGTATGGGCAAAAAACGTTTCTCTGTATGCTGTCCATATTGAATTAGTTAACAGATGGAGAGAACGAAAACAAGAGAAAAACAATTTACTACATTTTGTATGATAACACCTACCGTAAAAATTACATTCTATAGACACATCCTCCGAATGGGAACAGTCATTGACTCCCCAGTAGTTTGCTCTACACTGAGGTCCGTAGTAATAGGAATCTGTACATTCTAGCTGGTCCAGCCATATGGTGCTAGCATATGAGTCAGTTGTGCCACCAATTCCAGAATAATACCTGGTTGTACTGCGATAAAATATCTCACTGATTAAAAATTCGTTGTGATTTGTTTTCATCCTCGATACTCCAGAGATTGCGATCGCCATCATTGGAACATGTCATGGCAAAAGGTTCCATATACGATACCTTGTTGAAAAGACTGGTTTTATTTTTGACGTGCATCCAATGAATCTCTCGTCGTAGCATAACGTATATCATGATACATTTTAAGTCGGTTGTCGCTTCTATTCAGTTTCAGAAGGAGCTTGTCAGCCTGTGATTGTCTGTTATTTTCTCTTGGAACACATCAACACAATTTTGCCCTGACATGCTCCAGCGTTTCAGTAATTGTAAGCCTTGAAGTATCGAGGATGGTTTGTTGCTGGGTTTATAGCGATATGAAAGAGGTATTTTGAGGTCAGATTTACTTATAGTAAAGTAAGTCGACACTACACAATCATTACCTGGTTTATGGTTACCAGGAGTGTCTATCACTGTCAGTCTCAAAAATTGTACAAAAGACACACTTGAATAGTCACTATGACGGAAAATATCCAAACTGGTTTCGGTTACTAAATTGGAAAATCTTTAGTTTAACCGACAATGAAGGGAAGTCGTAACTATAAACCATAATTGAAGTCTTTACTATAACCGACAATGAAAGTAGTCTTTATTATAACCGACAATAAAAGTAGTCTTTATTATAACCGACAATGAAAGTAGTCTTTATTATAACCGACAATGAAAGTAGTCTTTATTATAACCGACAATGAAAGTAGTCTTTATTATAACCGACAATAAAAGAACATCTTTACTTTAATCGACAAAGAAAGAAATTCTCTGATATAAATTATAATTGAAGTCTTTACTACATCCAACAATGAAATAAAATCTTTAGATTAACCGACAATGAAAATATTACTGATTGCAACCTTGATATACAACCGAAAACACCAACATCAGAACATCGTCATAACTCGAACTCAAATTTGTTTGGAAACAATGCGCCCTGCTTGCGACAAAATAGGAAAATCAAAACTTTACCGTACTGAGTACATGCAAACTTCGTGAAACAACTATGCCTTCAAAATTATAGTGATCTTTTTATTACAAATAAACTTCACCTAAAACATTAGTCTGCATGTTGCCCAAAAACGCATATACCAAATATGAAAGCCCCCACCTCTTAATGAAAGGTTAAAGTTGACAAGAGGCAAACAGACAGCATAAAAACAACATGTCCCTGATCTTTTGATCGAGGGTAAAAATTAAACAAAGGAACGATTCACACGGAGACTCATGAAAAAGGTACAGGTGTTCTCGTAGAGAGATGAACATGCATCTCTCAAAATCCTGAGTGTTTATCTGTAAGTTGGTGACATTTTGCCTGAATAACGAGATATTGGGAATATTGACTGCTGATACTCACCTAGGCCACACTCCGTAAATAAGGTAACAAATCCCACGAGTTGTTCTGGTATTGAAATCGTCATCACAAACAGTCCCCCATCTCCCGTTGTGGTATACTTCGAGCAAGTGTCCATTTAATCGGAAATTTGTGCCTTGAGCTGGTATGGTAAACGAAAACAAATGATGCATAACAACACAACCGACTTTGAAATGGGATGTGCCTTGTCTAATTTTCTTTTATCATAAAAATAAAAACAAGACTGGCATTTATATGATTAAATTCCCTTTACCTGAGCGAACGGAAGTAAAATGTCCATCATGTGATGTGTCTTACCGATTGCCATTGCTCCTCGTGCAGTCGTCAGCTGGTTGTAGAATAATGTAGTTTCTGAAAAAATAATCATGTACATAAATATTGTCACAGGAAGATAACTTCAACATTTCTTTATTTTGAGCGTTTTCAACGTCTTCTCAATACGCAGTCTCATAGCAATATATCGTGCCACATTTTTCATTGTGTATATCAAATATAACCTGTTCAGAAAATAAATGTGTTTGTCTGAAAAACAATACACGCCACTTTACGTCATGACAGGAAGCGTCACCGCAGGAAATAGCACATAGCAAGGAAGATAATTTCAAAACGATATTAATAATGATGCTAAACATGTACGAATATAATACCTTACTGGTATGAAAAATACATTCCATGGACATATCCACATTGTGTGATCAGTTATTGACTCATTTAGTTGTTTACAACAAAACAAAGAAACGATTTCAAAGAATGAAAGTGGCATAACTTTAACAATATCAAAGAATATCAAAAGCACTTACCGTACTGGTAAGGAAAAGTACATTCTATAGACACATCCTCCGAATGGGAACAGTCATTGACTCCCCAGTAGTTTGCTCTACACTGAGGTCCGTAGTAATAGGAATCTGTACATTCTAGCTGGTCCAGCCATATGGTGCTAGCATATGAGACAGTTGTGCCTCTAGATCCGGAGTAATAACTCACGGAACTGTGGATAAAATATCGGAAATAATTAACAGTTTTATTTTCAGTGTGGTGGGCATTTTTATGAAAACATCCAGTGACATCTTCAGGTACGCACGTGATCTAAGGTTGCAATGTTTAAATAATCCAACGTCGTCTAATGACATGTGGATTATATGTGGATTTTAAAGAACTCAAAAGAGTTTTTTTACGAATCTTCAACACCCTATTTTAAAGACTATTTTCCTATAAGAACATTTGAATTTCCACTCTATACACCACCATACCCCAATTCATAACTAAGAGAACGCCTTCCTTGCACTGTTATGAGAGCTTGCTGTTGACAGAAAGATGAATTACAGTACAAATATATGGTTGTGAGCAGTGCTATAGCATATTTCGTGGGGGGAAAATGTCCAAATCAAAGAAGCCGGAAAAGAAATCATAATTTTTTTAGAGTTTCTGATTGAGAGCATCTTCGTCGAGTTTGGTGGTAAGATCTTCTAAAAGACTAATATATACTGGTAACAAACTGACCTTCGGTTGGCAGACTGATTTTGATTTGGTTTTCATACGAGGCTGAATTTATCAAAGACCTTTTCTTAAAACAGCTGAAATATGCATTGCAAAGTCGTTTACATTCACTTTCAGATATATTGATAACACCTCATCTTTACATAACAAGATAGCTTGATTACGCCCATCGTATATACCAACAATAACACAGTGTGTCTTTAACTTTTAACAACATTAAAGCCGTAGGTGATGTGATTTTCTTTCCGAAAGCGCATCGGCCTGTCTCCTTGATGTTAATATGTGCTCATAGAAGTGGATATCTTGAGAACAATGTGATAAATCTGTACCACAGCTTGATTCCGTTCACTTGAATTTACAGCACATTTCTAGTATCCATAAAACATTCTCGTGCCTTTTTGGAACGAATTTTGGATAATTTCTATAACTGAAAACATTTTGTAGTTGCTTTGACCTTTGTTATAGACACGTGTACATGTATGAATAACAAAAAAGATTCCCCTTCCCTCTGATTAATAATAACATTAACGTCTACTTAATTAATAGTGCAACTTTTGATTTATCGTATATGGAAATTAAAGCAAACGTCAAGACAAAGAATATATCAACAATCAGAAATACAGTGTCCACGTGTATAATTGCAATGACATATTCACGAAATCCCTCTTTTTCAATCAGATATTGCGGTAACATTTCATAATTTTCTTTTCTTGTTTTCCTTTTAAATCGAGTCATGAAAATAAGTCAGAAGGTAAGAACTTTTTGAATGGTTTAATCAATGCTCCTTCCCGAGATACAAATGATTGTATCACATGTTTGCCGTTTAGAGATTACACAATGGGATTAACGGTGTTGGTGTTAATGTTGTTCCATATCCCAGACACGTGACTAAGCGAAAAGTGCATAAAAACTCAAAATTTCACTGTGGTGTCGAAGGCGATAGCGTATGCAGGGTAGGGAATAATGAAATTAAGACTTTGGAATGAAAGTGGTGTATATTTAAAGGCAATGCGTGTGAGATCGTGTTTAATGATTGTACAAACAACACACAAGTGAACAGCACCGTGTAAAAATATAGAGATAGATACAGTAGAGCCAAACAATAAAATAAGCAGCTTTGTCCATCTACGACTTTTCAGTAATGTCAGGGCCTAAATTTTGAAACCTAGAAAGCGACTGAGGATAATCCAAACTGATCGAAAGAAATGTCTAGACGGGTAGGTGCAGCAGCTCCATAACTAAATAAATTTTGTAATTTCAATATATCAAACAATTTCATAATAGCGTGAAGTATATGTAAAATGTGACCTTTGACCTACTTTGATAAAACACCAGATTTAATTAGTGTGGTCATGCATTGCATATTAATATCAAAATATCTTCCGCTCATGAATTTACACCCATGTAAGTGTATGGACCTGCTGATACTCACCTAGGCCATTCTCCATAGATTAGATAACAAATTCCGCGAGTTGTTTTTTCATTGAAACCGTCATCACATACGGTTCCCCATCTCCCATCGTGGTACACCTCGAGCAGGTTTCCATACAGTCGAAAATTTATACCTTGACCTAATTTGACAAAATACGAGAAAAGAAAATAGACGCGAAACAACAGACTTAAATCGGATACCTATTTTCTTATCTTGTCTTATTGTAGAGTAAATTGATAACAATAAATAGTTTCTTGGGTGTTTGCCATCACGACTCCATTTAAAGTGAACCCTCGTGATGCGCTGAAACCCTAATTGATAGAATCAAATTATCTTTACTTTGATATATGCAACAGAAATAACCATCACGTAATATATCTTACCAACTATCATCGATCCTCCAAGGGACGAAGACCAGTAATCGAATGTGGTCACTTCTGAAGAAAGAAGTATGCACAACAATGATATCAAAGGGAGGTAATTTCTAACAATAAACAGTGTAATAAACAATTGTTTGGAGTTAATAAAAATAGTACTTACCATAGTTTATAGCACAAAGTATGAATGGAATAACACATAACAAGGGAGATAATTTCTGGGATGTAACAAAGTAATGAACATTCGGCAACGGTCAGTAAGAAAGAACATTTACCGTAATTGTTATTATGTCGGTTTTTCAAAAGTTGTCTTTGTTTGTGTAGTTTATGATGCTATTTTTGAAATGTTCGCTGTATCATAATTTGCTAATATAAGAGGATAGTTCAAATAACTTACCCGTGGTGATATCGGTACCTTTTAAGAAAAAGTAACTACATTTAAAATTAGCTTAAACGACAATATATGATTATATTGCTATGTTGTCATTTGTCTCACAGCATAGGACGCACACGTATGACCGAGTGTGATATCATTTTACATCATCTAACCCAAATGTAACTACAATGCAGTTAAATATTACATTTTAACAGGTAATGTACAACAATTCCATACGAATTTTGTAAAGTTTGACTTTTTTAGTAAATTATCTGTACTAAATACCAACAGATACAACGAACGTTTAAAACATCTTAATAGAGACAAATTGTAAGTTCAAACTAAAGTAGAAAAGGTGAAATGCTGATTGAAAACAAAATAACCGTACTGCAAAACAACTAGCAAGAATATTGAAGGTAGACTGACGTTAAATAATAAATCTAAAAACGTTTAATGTGTGCGAGGACAAAAGTTGGTGAAAGGAAATTGTATGTATGGGCAAAAAACGTTTCTCTGTATGCTGTCCATATTGAATTAGTTAACAGATGGAGAGAACGAAAACAAGAGAAAAACAATTTACTACATTTTGTGTGATAACACCTACCGTAAAAATTACATTCTATAGACACATCCTCCGAATGGGAACAGTCATTGACTCCCCAGTAGTTTGCTCTACACTGAGGTCCGTAGTAATAGGAATCTGTACATTCTAGCTGGTCCAGCCATATGGTGCTAGCATACGAGTCAGTTGTGCCACCAATTCCAGAATAATACCTGGTTGTACTGCGATAAAATATCTCACTGATTAAAAATTCGTTGTGATTTGTTTTCATCCTCGATACTCCAGAGATTGCGATCGCCATCATTGGAACATGTCATGGCAAAAGGTTCCATATACGATACCTTGTTGAAAAGACTGGTTTTATTTTTGACGTGCATCCAATGAATCTCTCGTCGTAGCATAACGTATATCATGATACATTTTAAGTCGGTTGTCGCTTCTATTCAGTTTCAGAAGAAGCTTGTCAGCCTGTGATTGTCTGTTATTTTCTCTTGGAACACATCAAATTGTTTCGCTTGTGCCTTCAATTTTGCCCTGACATGCTCCAGCGTTTCAGTAATTGTAAGCCTTGAAGTATCGAGGATGGTTTGTTGCTGGGTTTATAGCGATATGAAAGAGGTATTTTGAGGTCAGATTTACTTATAGTAAAGTAAGTCGACACTACACAATCATTACCTGGTTTATGGTTACCAGGAGTGTCTATCACTGTCAGTCTCAAAAATTGTACAAAAGACACACTTGAATAGTCACTATGACGGAAAATATCCAAACTGGTTTCGGTTACTAAATTGGAAAATCTTTAGTATAACCGACAATGAAGGGAAGTCGTAACTATAAACCATAATTGAAGTCTTTACTATAACCGACAATAAAAGTAGTCTTTATTATAACCGACAATGAAAGTAGTCTTTATTATAACCGACAATGAAAGTAGTCTTTATTATAACCGACAATAAAAGAACATCTTTACTTTAATCGACAAAGAAAGAAATTATCTGATATAAATTATAATTGAAGTCTTAACTACATCCAACAATGAAATAAAATCTTTAGATTAACCGACAATGAAAATATTACTGATTGCAACCTTGATATACAACCGAAAACACCAACATCAGAACATCGTCATAACTCAAACTCAAATTTGTTTGGAAACAATGCGCCCTGCTTGCGACAAAATAGGAAAATCAAAACTTTACCGTGTAAGGCATGTACTGAGTACATGCAAACTTCGTGAAACAACTATGCCTTCAAAATTATAGTGATCTTTTTATTACAAATAAACTTCACCTAAAACATTAGTCTGCATGTTGCCCAAAAACGCATATACCAAATATGAAAGCCCCCACCTCTTAATGAAAGGTTAAAGTTGACAAGAGGCAAACAGACAGCATAAAAACAACATGTCCCTGATCTTTTGATCGAGGGTAAAAATTAAACAAAGGAACGATTCACACGGAGACTCATGAAAAAGGTACAGGTGTTCTCGTAGAGAGATGAACATGCATCTCTCAAAATCCTGTGTGTTTATCTGTAAGTTGGTGACATTTTGCCTGAATAACGAGATATTGGGAATATTGACTGCTGATACTCACCTAGGCCACACTCCGTAAATAAGGTAACAAATCCCACGAGTTGTTCTGGTATTGAAATCGTCATCACAAACAGTCCCCCATCTCCCGTTGTGGTATACTTCGAGCAAGTGTCCATTTAATCGGAAATTTGTGCCTTGAGCTGGTATGGTAAACGAAAACAAATGATGCATAACAACACAACCGACTTTGAAATGGGATGTGCCTTGTCTAATTTTCTTTTATCATAAAAATAAAAACAAGACTGGCATTTATATGATTAAATTCCCTTTACCTGAGCGAACGGAAGTAAAATGTCCATCATGTGATGTGTCTTACCGATTGCCATTGCTCCTCGTGCAGTCGTCAGCTGGTTGTAGAATAATGTAGTTTCTGAAAAATTAATCATGTACATAAATAATGTCACAGGAAGACAACTTCAACATTTCTTTATTTTGAGCGTTTTCAACGTCTTCTCAATACGCAGTCTCATAGCAATATATCGTGCCACATTTTTCATTGTGTATATCAAATATAACCTGTTCAGAAAATAAATGTGTTTGTCTGAAAAACAATACACGCCACTTTACGTCATGACAGGAAGCGTCACCGCAGGAAATAGCACATAGCAAGGAAGATAATTTCAAAACGATGTTAATAATAATGCTAAACATGTACGAATATAATACCTTACTGGTATGAAAAATACATTCCATGGACATATCCACATTGTGTGATCAGTTATTGACTCATTTAGTTGTTTACAACAAAACAAAGAAACGATTTCAAAGAATGAAAGTGGCATAATTTTAACAATATCAAAGAATATCAAAAGCACTTACCGTACTGGTAAGGAAAAGTACATTCTATAGACACATCCTCCGAATGGGAACAGTCATTGACTCCCCAGTAGTTTGCTCTACACTGAGGTCCGTAGTAATAGGAATCTGTACATTCTAGCTGGTCCAGCCATATGGTGCTAGCATATGAGACAGTTGTGCCTCTAGATCCGGAGTAATAACTCACAGAACTGTGGATAAAATATCGGAAATAATTAACAGTTTTATTTTCAGTGTGGTGGGCATTTTTATGAAAACATCCAGTGACATCTTCAGGTACGCACGTGATCTAAGGTTGCAATGTTTAAATAATCCAACGTCGTCTAATGACATGTGGATTATATGTGGATTTTAAAGAACTCAAAAGAGTTTTTTTACGAATCTTCAACACCCTATTTTAAAGACTATTTTCCTATAAGAACATTTGAATTTCCACTCTATACACCAACATACCCCAATTCATAACTAAGAGAACGCCTTCCTTGCACTGTTATGAGAGCTTGCTGTTGACAGAAAGATGAATTACAGTACAAATATATGGTTGTGAGCAGTGCTATAGCATATTTCGTGGGGGTAAAATGTCCAAATCAAAGAAGCCGGAAAAGAAATCATAATTTTTTTAGAGTTTCTGATTGAGAGCATCTTCGTCGAGTTTGGTGGTAAGATCTTCTAAAAGACAACTGATATACTGGTAACAAACTGACCTTCGGTTGGCTGACTGATTTTGATTTGGTTTTCATACGAGGCTGAATTTATCAAAGACCTTTTCTTAAAACAGCTGAAATATGCATTGCAAAGTCGTTTACATTCACTTTCAGATATATTGATAACACCTCATCTTTACATAACAAGATAGCTTGATTACGCCCATCGTATATACCAACAATAACACAGTGTGTCTTTAACTTTTAACAACATTAAAGCCGTAGGTGATGTGATTTTCTTTCCGAAAACGCATCAACCTGTCTCCTTGATGTTAATATTTGCTCATAGAAGTGGATATCTTGAGAACAATGTGATAAATCTGTACCACAGCTTGATTCCGTTCACTTGAATTTACAGCACATTTCTAGTATCCATAAAACATTCTCGTGCCTTTTTGGAACGAATTTTGGATCATTTCTATAACTGAAAACAGTTTGTAGTTGCTTTGACCTTTGTTACAGACACGTGTACATGTATGAATAACAAAAAATAGTTCCCTTCCTTCTGAATAACAATAACATTAACGTCTACTTAATTAATAGTGCAACTTTTGATTTATCGTATATGGAAATTAAAGCAAATGTCAAGACAAAGAATATATCAACAATCAGAAGTACAGTGTCCACGTGTATAATTGCAATGACATATTCACGAAATCCCTCTTTTTTAATCAGATATTGCGGTAACATTTCATAATTTTCTTTTCTTGTTTTCCTTTTAAATCGAGTCATGAAAATAAGTCAGAAGGTAAGAACTTTTTGAATGGTTTAATCAATGCTCCTTCCCGAGATACAAATGATTGTATCACATGTTTGCCGTTTAGAGATTACACAATGGGATTAACGGTGTTGGTGTTAATGTTGTTCCATATCCCAGACTCATGACTAAGCGAAAAGTGCATAAAAACTCAAAATTTCACTGTGGTGTCGAAGGCGATAGCGTATGCAGGGTAGGGAATAATGAAATTAAGACTTTGGAATGAAAGTGGTGTATATTTAAAGGCAATGCGTGTGAGATCGTGTTTAATGATTGTACAAACAACACACAAGTGAACAGCACCGTGTAAAAATATAGAGATAGATACAGTAGAGCCAAACAATAAAATAAGCAGCTTTGTCCATCTACGACTTTTCAGTAATGTCAGGGCCTAAATTTTGAAACCTAGAAAGCGACTGAGGATAATCCAAACTGATCGAAAGACATGTGTAGACGGGTAGGTGCAGCAGCCCCATAACTAAATAAATTTTGTAATTTCAATATATCAAACAATTTCATAATAGCGTGAAGTATATGTAAAATGTGACCTTTGACCTACTTTGATAAAACACCAGATTTAATTAGTGTGGTCATGCATTGCATATTAATATCAAAATATCTTCCGCTCATGAATTTACACCCATGTAAGTGTATGGACCTGCTGATACTCACCTAGGCCATTCTCCATAGATTAGATAACAAATTCCGCGAGTTGTTTTTTCATTGAAACCGTCATCACATACGGTTCCCCATCTCCCATCGTGGTACACCTCGAGCAGGTTTCCATACAGTCGAAAATTTATACCTTGACCTAATTTGACAAAATACGAGAAAAGAAAATAGACGCGAAACAACAGACTTAAATCGGATACCTATTTTCTTATCTTGTCTTATTGTAGAGTAAATTGATAAAAATAAATAATTTCTTGGGTGTTTGCCATCACGACTCCATTTAAAGTGAACCCTCGTGATGCGCTGAAACCCTAATTGATAGTATCAAATTATCTTTACTTTGATATATGCAACAGAAATAACCATCACGTAATATATCTTACCAACTATCATCGATCCTCCAAGGGACGAAGACCAGTAATCGAATGTGGTCATTTCTGAAGAAAGAAGTATGCACAACAATGATATCAAAGGGAGGTAATTTTTTAACATTAAACAGTGAAATAAACACATAACAATAATTTCTGGAATTTAACAAAATAATGAACATTCGGCAACGGTCAGTAAGAAAGAACACTTTCCGAAATTTT